ATATAGTCAATATTTTAGATTTAGAAAGATCTCGTCATTTTTTTTAGTAGGCTGAGGTGTGATATCATTAAAGGTGGGAGGGTCTGGTGTTTTGTGACAATGTGTGACAGAAGGAAGGTCAAAAAAAGCATGATAACATTTACAAATGACCCATAAGCTTAGTTGAACTTAAACATGATCAACTTAACTAAGCATACACTAATAGTTGAGTAATATACTAATAGTGTCCATGTTAGTAGACCTCCCACCACAGTAAGATAACACTGATAACAGATAATTCAGGAACTAACTTGTAAACAAAAACTACAACTAATATTCTTGACTACCATATCTAGATCCTAACATTGACATAACATTGCTGATTATTAGGGCCTAAAACTGTTTTATTATTACTAACAACAGTAATATAGCTGCTTAACAAAATAAAGAATCATGTAACATGTATGAATGGTCGTATATTGAGCTAATAAAATCTAAAAATGCACCTCAGTAAGCTTGGGTCAGTAGATCTACATATGTGTATATTAGAGCCTAAGTTTGTGTCTGCTTACTATGAGACTAAAACTAAGTTTGTGACTGCTAACTATGAGACTAAAACTAAACCTTCTCTACAGGCTAAGCTAACGTCTGTCTGTTGTGAGTTGATCTATAGTCTAGACGTTTAGAGAGAGACATAATCTACTTCAGAGTAGTCTGTAGTGTAGTTTACAACTGTGTGCATTAATGATAATAATAGGTTATAGGTAGAAAATATAGTTACTAAGCCAGTTTATTGGTAGTGCTGTTTGATTATAGTTTCGATTAGGCTTGTTAGATCTAAAAACTAGACTAAATCTTATAGGAGCCTAGTTACTTAGGCTAAGTTATGATCCTAAGTAAATTTTATTATGGATAGGCAAACTCTAAAAATCGTGACATAATGTAGGCCTATGCTCTCTACTATACTAATTAACTAATGACTCTTAATGAGTAATAAAAATACATCTGATAATTAAAAATGAATTTACTAACTTATAGGCCTATAAAAAGTATAGGGCCTATATGTAGAGTTTTTTGTAGACCCTATAGGCCTATAAAAACAAGAATTAAAATTAAATAGGCCTATTGTTAACTACTATAGTAGGCCTACATACTACATACATAACTAATAGTTAGTAAAACATATGCCCTAGGCCCTAGACCTAATTGTAATTACGATTAATTAGGCCTATAAATTAATTAGTAGGCTATAGATCTAGGCCTAATTATTAACTAATTAATAATTATCCAATAGTTGTTAGTTGTTAAAAGTTAACAGTAATATTAATATATATATATAGGCCTAATTGCTAGGCCTAAATAAAATTATTAATTAGGCTAGTAGATCTAGGCCTGGGCTTGGGCCTAATAATTAAAATATGAGATTCAGTTATGAGTATGACTTAACTTAAGTATAGCTTAGTTTACGTAAGACTAAATTAAGTGTTTATGTCTAAAGTCTAAGCTAAGACTAAGTAATACTTAGTAAGTATTAAGTAATATCCAAGTTCAACTTAGAGAAGACTGAAAAGAAATTCAGCAGACTGTCTTAAAAACCAAGAGAGAGTAACAAACAACTACGAAGTAGATCTATTCTAGATCTAGACTAGATCTAGAATCTAATATTGGACATGTGTTAAAAACAATATTTTAAAATATAGATCTAGATCTACTGCGAGATCTAATCTACTTGTTCTACTTACAGATGGATTTATCTTTATTAAGTGACTTTGTCGCCACTGAAAATTACAAAATAGTTGGTAACTAACGCTGTGACAAACACTGGAACTAGCCGAAAGGTAAGCGACACACCTTCTTTCCTTCCAAAAATATCTCAACACCCAGATTTTTACGTCAGGCCAAATTATACTTGCTTTCACTTGTTTCGAAATAGTAATTTAAATATTAAATATACACTTATTACAACCATAATGTATATAGTTAAGATGATAATTTATTAAATACGATAAAAATTGTAACAAAATCTACGCAAGGTAAAATTTAACGATTAGCACACCTAAGCTGCTAAATCTGGGTAAATGTTATGGGTTATTATGGGCGAGGTCACATTGCTTTGTGTGACAGTTATTTTATAATGCACTCTACGTGATTCATTTCTTAGACCGAGTTAGGCCTATATAATGTAGACCTATGTCGAGATATTTTTATAATATTGTGCGATGCTCAACTCATCAGTTTATGTTTGGGCTGAGGGTAGTGGATGAAAACCTAATCGAGAAAACAATCATCTAGGCTTTCTTTCAGGCATCTTTCTCTCTTTTTTTAAAGGAGGGGGTGGTGGGCACTTGAAAACTACTGGAGGTACACCTTATAATTTACGGAGGAAGGGGGTGGAGGCTACTGATTTAAAAGTATTTTCTAATTTTCTATCTAAATTATGTTTTTTTTTCTCTCGTCGGGGGAGGGAGGGGGGGGGGGGGCTATAACACTGTAACTGTAGCTGGGAAAATAAATACATTTCCAATATTCAGCTAGTGAATCGTGTCTGTTAATATATTTTTGTTGGTTATTGTGTGCATATTCCAATTTAAAAAAATATTCGGGGAGGGGGGAAGGGGGTAATCCATAACTGATGCAGACTTTTAAACCCAACCCACCCCTTAGAGGCGTAGCGACCCATTCCAGCGCAAAAGCGCCGCCCTCCCCCAAATTAGAAAAGGCGGGGGCGCTTTTTACCAATCACGTTTTTTATGCTGATGTCAAATAATTGATGTCAGCTAGAAATGTTTTTTTTTTTTTTTTTAAATTCCAACCCCGTTCGGCGCCCCCTAAGGTCGGCGCTTGGGGCCGCTACCCCACCCGCCCTCCCCTAGCTACGCCTCTGACCCCTCCTCCCCTTTCTCATCCCTCACTATAACCACATTGATCGCGGCGTCGTTTGTGGACGACCCCTAACCCTCATTCTGTCAACAATCCATTTTTTTAAACATCTCTTTAGAATGGAGCAGGCGAAATGCAATTATATTTTATTATATAGATCCAGACCTCGATAGATCTCACACAACAACTTGGACCATTTTATTATTGGTCACCATTATACCAAAGTCGCTATCTAATTTTGTACTGAAAAGTGGAAATTACTTTAATATACAAACAAATAATGTTTCCATTGTGTACCTATGGTGTGCCTTAAAGTTGTAAAATGGGATTTCGTCTCGTATTTTACTGTATATGGAAGTTCACCGATTACTTCCAATTTCCAACATACGATCATTAAGAATATGTAATAGTATAATCTTCTTCCATGTTGTTCTAAATATTCTTGCCTGAAAAACTAAAGATGGCTGGACAGCAGGGCTGTACCACGTCAACAAATATTTGCCCAGTGTAATATGCAATGTGGGAAAATACATTTGTCATATTGACCGTTAAATCTGATATTTGTAAGCTGTAGTCGGCAACAACATCCAACAGGTCTGATGTTGTACAACATCCAACTAGTTGATAGGATGTTAGGTCTGATGTTGTACAACATCCAACTAGTTGATTGGATGTTAGGTCTGATGTTGTACAACATCCAACTAGTTGATTGGATGTTAGGTCTGATGTTGTAAATTGACAACAACATCCAACTAGTTGATTGGATGTTAGGTCTGATGTTGTACAACATCCAACTAGTTGATTGGATGTTAGGTCTGATGTTGTAAATTGACAACAACATCCAACTAGTTGATTGGATGTTAGGTATGATGTTGTACAACATCCCACTAGTTGATTGGATGTTAGGTCTGATGTTATGTTGTACAACATTCAACTAGTTGATTGAATGTTAGGTATGATGTTGTAAATTGACAACAACATCCAACTAGTTGATTGAATGTTAGGTCTGATGTTGTACAACATCCAACTAGTTGATTGGATGTTAGGTCTGATGTTATGTTGTACAACATTCAACTAGTTGATTGAATGTTAGGTATGATGTTGTAAATTGACAACAACATCCAACTAGTTGATTGAATGTTAGGTCTGATGTTGTACAACATCCAACTAGTTGATTGAATGTTAGGTCTGATGTTATGTTGTACAACATTCAACTAGTTGATTGGATGTTAGGTCTGATGTTGTACAACATCCAACTAGTTGATTGGATGTTGGTCTGATGTTGTACAACATCCAACTAGTTGATTGAATGTTAGGTCTGATGTTATGTTGTACAACATTCAACTAGTTGATTGGATGTTAGGTCTGATGTTGTACAACATCCAACTAGTTGATTGGATGTTGGTCTGATGTTGTACAACATCCAACTAGTTGATTGGATGTTGGTCTGATGTTGTACAACATCCAACTAGTTGATTGGATGTTGGTCTGATGTTGTACAACATCCAACTAGTTGATTGGATGTTAGGTCTGATGTTATGTTGTACAACATTCAACTAGTTGATTGAATGTTAGGTATGATGTTGTAAATTGACAACAACATCCAACTAGTTGATTGAATGTTAGGTCTGATGTTGTACAACATCCAACTAGTTGATTGAATGTTAGGTCTGATGTTATGTTGTACAACATTCAACTAGTTGATTGGATGTTAGGTCTGATGTTGTACAACATCCAACTAGTTGATTGGATGTTGGTCTGATGTTGTACAACATCCAACTAGTTGATTGAATGTTAGGTCTGATGTTATGTTGTACAACATTCAACTAGTTGATTGGATGTTAGGTCTGATGTTGTACAACATCCAACTAGTTGATTGGATGTTGGTCTGATGTTGTACAACATCCAACTAGTTGATTGGATGTTGGTCTGATGTTGTACAACATCCAACTAGTTGATTGGATGTTGGTCTGATGTTGTACAACATCCAACTAGTTGATTGGATGTTAGGTCTGATGTTGTACAACATCCAACTAGTTGATTGGATGTTAGGTCTGATGTTGTACAACATCCAACTAGTTGATTGGATGTTAAGTCTGAAAAAGTACAGCATGAAACTCCAAAGTAAACAGAAAACTGGCTGTTAAAAACCTTTTATTTCAAGTGGACGTGTAATTAATTAACCACAACAGCGCCCAAGCAACACTTAAGTTCACTCACAATAAAATGTTTGCAGCACAAAACTTCATTTGTTCTTAAAACAGTCATACAATTTTGTTGAATATTGTTGTATTCAAATAAAAATATATAATTTGCTGTGGAAAAAATCGATTCATGTATTCTTAACATTAATACATCAATTATTTCTGGCTTTTTTTTTTGTTATTATTTTTTTTTTTTTATAAATGTTTTTTTTTTCAACCTTGAAATCAAATTTCAATAAAAGAAAGGTAATAAATAAAATTTTTAGAGACGCATAATTGGAAGAATTCTCTCCCTTGGAGCCTCGATGGCGGCTGGTGCAGGTGCTTCAATGCTGAGAACGCCGTCTGCTGCTAACGTTGAGTTCAAGCTGAGCGGGTCAATCTTTTGGGGCAGCACGTACTGGCGACTGAATTCACGGTACACCTGAAACATTCACAACATTTAGTTGAACAAATTGTTTTTAATTAGAAGTTTTTTTTAATTAGAAGTTCTATGATCCACTAACTACAAACTAGCTTGTGGTTCTGGAACATTCGTTTCACAACATTCAGTTAGATGGAGGTTGTTTGTATTACTGTGGTTTTTAATTGCAGTTTTGAGACCACCAGTATAAACACACCCAAACAGAAGGATTAAACACCCTAGACCCCCCCCCCCCGGACACAGAGTTGTGTAGTGACGCCACTGATGAGACCAGTTACCTTTCTGCCGGGTGACTCCTCTGTATGTTTGGCCTGTACCATCAGTTTGTTGTCGATAGTTTTCACTGTGATCTCTTCAGGTTTAAAGTCTTTACAATCAAACCTGAGGTAAACCAATACACAGACAATAGAACATCGGAAATAGCAAAGTGAAAATCTGAATGAAAGGTGTTGTGTAGTTATTTAGTAAAAGAAAAAGGTTTCTGTTTCATGCCCTTTACGAGTGTATGTAATAGACTGGTAGTTATTTTAAATGTGAGTGTAACTCTTCTGTAACAAAACCTAAGTTTTACTGTCTTTAAGCACAGCCCCTATGGTGCCAACTGTTTAAGTAAACATTTGGAAGTTTCAATAAAAGTGTCATCACACTAGTCAACACACACATCCTATGACGTCAGCAGCACACGCCACAACTAGACTATGACGTCAGCAACCTACATTACAGCTAGCAGATTACCTCAGCAGCATAACCACACTATGACAACAGCAGCATAACCACCCAAGACAACAGCAGCATAACCACACTATGACAACAGCAGCATAACCACACTATGACAACAGCAGCATAACCACACTATGACAACAGCAGCATAACCACTCTATGACAACAGCAGCATAACCACCCTATAACAACAGCAGCATAACCACCCTATAACAACAGCAGCATAATCACCCTATGACAACAGCAGCATAACCACACTATGACAACAGCAGGATAACCACCCTATGACAACAGCAGCATAACCACACTATGACAACAGCAGCATAACCACACTATGACAACAGCAGCATAAGCACCCAAGACAACAGCAGCATAACCACACTATGACAACAGCAGCATAACCACACTATGACAACAGCAGCATAACCACACTATGACAACAGCAGCATAACCACACTATGACAACAGCAGCATAACCACACAAGACAACAGCAGCATAACCACACTATGACAACAGCAGCATAACCACACTATGACAACAGCAGCATAACCACTCTAAGACAACAGCAGCATAACCACACTATGACAACAGCAGCATAACCACACTATGACAACATCAGCATAACCACACTATGACAACAGCAGCATAAACACCCTATGACAACAGCAGCATAACCACCCAAGACAACAGCAGCATAACCACCCTATGACAACAGCAGCATAACCACCCAAGACAACAGCAGCATAACCACACTATGACAACAGCAGCATAACCATCCAAGACAACAGCAGCACACGCCACACGCAGCCCTTGACGTCAATAGCACGAACAGCTAGATTATGACTTCACAATCTACATCAGACTATGACGTCAGCAACATACGTCACAGCCAACCTATGACGTCACTAACGTACCTGAGAGACAGCCGTTTGTTCCCCTGCTCATCAGACACGATGGGCCGCTCGGGTTTGATCATGGACGAGCCGAAGTCGTTGAAGTCGAGGGCCTTGAGGGTGAACATCTCGCTGCGCATCCTCTCCAACTCGCGGTCAAACTCCTTCCACTCCGAGTCCATGTCCTTGTCCATGCCCTTGAAGATGTCGCTGAAGACCTGTCTCTGTCTCTCGAAGAAGCTCCAGTTCTCACGTCTGAGGGGCACTAGATGTTCCATTGTCTTGTACTGTTGGAGCAGACGATCAAAGTTCTTGCTTGGTTTGTCTAGCGAAACTTGTTACTTGATGAGTTCTTTGGTGTCTGGAAGTATATTTTGTAAGTACAGTTTACTACTTACATCCATTTATTGAATGTTAGTTTAACTACATATGTTTGTAATTATAATCGATAAAAAATACCAAAAGCTACAAAACACATTTCTCAATTTAATTCTTGACTAGAGAAATAAACAAACAATGAAACTTTGCTGTGAGCTTATTTTGTTTTGTTTTTGTTGAGAGATAACTGCCTTCTGCTACTGCTACACATTGCTTATTTACTTGCTACTCATTGCGCACTTTGAAAGCGAGCTTTAGTAAACATATATTTGAGTTCTCTAAGTGTCGGCTAGGCACGCACTAGACGTATCTGTTTGTTTTTTCCCGTGATAGTTTTTAGATGTTTTGTATCAAACGATGATGAAAAGTGGGTTGAAAAAAAAACTTTCCCCATTCCTCGGCCATTTATCACCTTAAATCTCACGTCTGCCAGTGGCACAATGACAGATCCACCTGTAGTCTTTACCTGGGCTAACGTCTGCCCTAACAAGGATGGAGTGTCGGAGCCATCAACTTTTTAATCAAATAAAACTAATCAATTTTAATGCCAGCGATGCTTTAAGATTGGGGTATCTAAAATTGTCTGTTGTAGGCCAACATTTAGATGCACCAGGGGGAGTTTCCTACGATTTTTGGGGCACTTACCTGTGGTTGAAAGTGGGCAAAGGCCCGGGCCTGACAAAAATGATACAGGTGAAAATACGGACCAGTCGCAACTTCCTCAGTAAGGAGATGAAAACTGACCTATATATCCCTTGTACACAGATGAACACAGACGCATATATATTTCATAAGTGTTTCTTTCAGGCATCAGTTGGGGGGGGGGCACGTTTACTGCCCGCCCCCAAAGAAATAGATTCTTGGTAGAAAATATTTAATTCGGCCAAAGTTTCAAGTCCGTCGTCTTATTCGTTCAGAATTTCAAAACAGAGAGAGGACCTCTTTATTCAGTCTATATGAATGGGAGACAACTTCCCAAAACTTTCACTTATTTTTAGGATTGTATACTTTTGTGCGGTGAAAAGTAAAGCACTAATTAGAATTCGTAAGCGTAACGATTCCATTACACAATACATATTGATTTCAAACAATAGAAAGTATATAAACCAACTCAATAAAATAAAAATTGGGAAAATTTTGGTTGAGTTGTATAGCACAGGAAAAGTGTTTCTTCGTGAAAGGTGGAATGTAGGCCATATCCTATTTTAAGTAACTCGATGGAACTCTTTTGTGCCAAAAATGCCCGTGCTAACGCTGTAATAAAATGTTAGGTAGTTAAAGCTTTATTTATTACCCCTAAAATTATAAAAAAAATCTTCCCTTAAGCTGCTGGAGACCTATGATAATTATCTAATCCAATATTTAAACACAAAAGCTCATGCTAAAATCCATGCATGCCAATAGCATTAAGGAGCCAGTGCATATTTTCAAGCAACCTAAAATAACCTGAAATTACTTTTCCAGATCGAAGTCAGTGGGTTATTTGTTCATTGTTAAGAAAATATATAGCCGATGGAAAGGGGAGGGGTACAATGTCAGGGAAGGATTCTGGAGTGGGGGGGGGTACAATGTCAGGGAAGGATTCTGGAGTGGGGGGGGGGTACAATGTCAGGGAAGGATTCTGGAGTGGGGGGGGGGGGTACAATGTCAGGGAAGGATTCTGGAGTGGGGGGGGTACAATGTCAGGGAAGGATTCTGGAGTGGGGGGGGGGGGGGTACAATGTCAGGGAAGGATTCTGGAGTGGGGGGGGGGGGGGTACAATGTCAGGGAAGGATTCTGGAGTGGGGGGGGGTACAATGTCAGGGAAGGATTCTGGAGTGGGGGGGGGGGGGTACAATGTCAGGGAAGGATTCTGGAGTGGGAGGGGGGGGGTACAATGTCAGGGAAGGATTCTGGAGTGGGGGGGGGAGGGTAAATCTACCTGAAGGTCAGCACATAATCTTGGCACCAAAGTGAGGCTGTACACCTGGGAATCGTACCGGCTGGCAGACGTCGTTCTTTTGGTCAGAGTGTTTAACCCTTTTAAGTTTATTTTCTTTTACCTGTGTTTCCGGGGGGTTGTTTGAATTTTTGGGGGTGTTGTAATGAGGTGTGTTGTATAGGGGGTTGTTGTATTGGGGTGTGTTGTGTAGGGATTGTTGTATGGAGGGGCGATGTATAGAGGGATGTAATGATGTGTTTTGTTGCATAAGGGAATGTTGTATTGGGGTTGTTGTATGGGGGGTTCGTTGAATCGAAGGGTGTTTTATGTTGAGGTGCAGTATAAAGGGCTCTTGTTTTGTATATATATATATATATATATATATATATATATATATATATATATATATATATATATATATATATATATATATATATATATATATATTACTTAAAGCAAGTATAGTATGAGTGTCAATTTATATACATGTCTTAAAGACTGTATGAAGGTGTCATTTTTGTCGACGAGGTTGTGTAACTTGTTATAACACCATTTTAATTCTGTCGGTTAAAATCTTTTTAAAAAAGGGAGCGAACACTAATTTACTAACAGGCCTTAATATCCACAAATTTGAAGTTTTTAAAATGCATCGCCAGCAAAAATGCATGACCGTAATAATTGTACTAAATAGCAATTTTTACTTTCTTTTTGTAAGCCAAATGTAAGAAAAGTTTTAAAAGAAAAACTATCTACTAAGCTCTATTATAGCACATTGTAGTTTGGCTCTGAGACTAGGGTTTAGAACTGTTTTCTTGGTCCGTGTAATAAACGAAAGAACCCAGTGTGAATGTGGTGGCCACAGGTGTAACTCTTGTGCCAAAAAGATCCGGAAAAATGCTCCATGCGTTTTATTTTTAAGTGAAGTAAGATGATAAAAAAAAGGAAGAAAAAAACTCTTCCTAATGAAAAACAATCAACTACTCATCGGCTGCAATATTGGTTCAAAACTCGCGCCACAAATATCGAATCTTCTCGCTCGATTTCACTCCGTAAAAAAGTCGGATCTTTTGTTGGCTGATAAAAAAACCAAGATGAGAAGAAAGTTAATAGGTCTAGCAGTTGTACAGGTAAACATACAGAGGACAGAAGGTCACAGGTAACTCAGTGGGGGGGGGGGGTTGCTGAGGGCTCCAGAACTAGGTTTCTCCAGGAGTCTTCTTTAAGAAAATGATTTCTGACAGGCTCTGGCTATCGGCTTACAGCGAGTTTCAAGTCTGTTGATTGTTTACTCACGGCGAGGTGTGTTTATACTCGCGCTTGTACCAACAGTTCGACTTCATCGTCGTCAGGCTCACGGGTGTAGCCGATCGTTGTAGTGTCGATACGACTAGGGCGGTTCATTGGGCCGATACGGTACTACTTCAGGTGATTGGTTGGTCAATACGATACTACTTGATGTGATTGGTTGGGCGATTACGATTCTACTTGATGTGTTTAGTTGGGCCAAAACCATACGACCTCGCGTGATTTGTTGGGCCAACACGATACTTCTTTAGATGGTGGTCAATCTAATACAAATCTTTCAGTTATGGGTTGGGCCAATACGACGCCATGAGATTAAAATAAACCACAGACCACCCACAGACCACCCACACACCACCCACAGAGCGTGAGATCTCGACCAGCCTCAGCCACCTGACGTCATAAACAAAGGGAACGGTTGACCCACCGTGACGGGGGTCGAGCCCTGGGGTCGAGCATGGGGGTCGAGCTAACCAGCCAACAACAGAAAGAAACAGCAGCACACACAGAAGGTGGTCTAGATCCCTCATACCATCTCGCGTTCCCTCCACATTTTTCCCTCCACAAGGTCTACATTTTTCCCTTCACAAGGACGTTTCAAAGTGCAAGGCAATTTTTTATCTCTAACGAATGCTGACTTGCCAAAAACACTTTTTTGAAAAGCTATGAAAGCAGACGACTCCTCCTGTTGTTGACGATAATCAGGTCGTTCAAAAACTCACATGATGGTGCAGTCACGTGATGTTTTATCTGATTCACTCCAGTGACAGTGAGTAGAGTTTGTACTTTTACATGGTCTTACCTGATGTTACCTGGTCTTACCTGATGTAACCTAATGCTATCTGATGTGGGGGAACCGCTTGACTGGTAGATACATTTTTCATTTCACTTGCAAATGGAATATGACATCGGCATAGATACAAACTTCGACGCCAGGAATATATATATATATATATATATATATATATATATATATATATATATATATATATATATATATATATATATATATATACATATATATATATATATATATATATATATATATATATATATACATATATATATATACACATATATATACACACATATATACACATATATATACACATATATATATATATATATATATATATATATATATATATATATATATATATATATATATATATATATATATATATATATATATATAGTCCCTTGGTAAGATGTTAGCTACTCAGTATACCGCTCGTTAAAACGGTGCACGTGACTCTGATAAAGTGGATTAAACTCCAGGAAAGATTTGTGTAGCTCCGGTATTCTCGTACATTCTGTGTAGGACCAGGTGTTATTGGCACGTGCTACAAGTAAGGCGATGTTGGTTCATCGTCTGCTGGTTTGATGGTTAAAGCTGATACCTTGTTTCGACATAAGGGATAATAAATGATACAGCCAAACTCTGCCTGTTTGATTGGGTACTAAACGATCTTGTAGGGAGCTGATAGCTAGAACAAAGCTTCGGAACTGCATGTGTTTGCTTGATAAAGTGATACTGGGGTATTGAAATCTTTGGGACTTTTGACTAGAACTCTCATACCTTTATTTCATGGTATTTTATTTTTTTGCTCACCTGTAATTTATAATGCAGTTTTGATCTTGATTAAGAAAATTCTACAGCCATTACGTCAGAATATCTTAAAATATGACAACACAAGACGCTTGAAAACTGTAATCTGGCTACTTTTATGTCGTGAGTACAAGCTATTTGACAGAATACATTCTGACGTGAAACTGCGCTCATGCCTGCTTTTTTTTTAAAAAACGAGATTAATGTTAAGTATATTTTAACTGCAGTAGCCCGACCCTACCTACCCCTCTCCCTGGCACCAGTAGCCCGACCCTACCTACCCCTCTCCCTGGCACCAGTAGCCCGACCCTACCTACCCCTCTCCCTGGCACCAGTAGCCCGACCCTACCTACCCCTCTCCCTGGCACCCACAAGGCTCCAGACGCAGGCTACCTTTCAGACGGTAACAAACACATCAATATCAATAAATAAACAAGCACAGGCTCTGGGAGAGGACTAGACCCAGGAAGAGGCTCCAGGCTCTGGGAGAGGCCCCAGGCTCTGGGAGAGGCCCCAGGCTCTGGGAGAGGCCCCAGGCTCTGGGAGAGGCCCCAGGCTCTGGGAGAGGCCCCAGGCTCTGGGAGAGGCCCCAGGCTCTGGGAGAGGCTCCACGCTCTGGGAGAGGCCCCAGGCTCTGGGAGAGGCCCCAGGCTCTGGGAGAGGCCCCAGTCTCTGGGAGAGGCCCCAGGCTCTGGGAGAGGCTCCACGCTCTGGGAGAGGCCCCAGGCTCTGGGAGAGGCTCCACGCTCTGGGAGAGGCTCCACGCTCTGGGAGAGGCCCCAGGCTCTGGGAGAGGCCCCAGGCTCTGGGAGAGGCCACAGGCTCTGGGAGAGGCCCCAGGCTCTGGGAGAGGCCCCAGGCTCTGGGAGAGGCCCCAGGCTCTGGGAGAGGCCCCAGGCTCTGGGAGAGGCTCCACGCTCTGGGAGAGGCCCCAGGCTCTGGGAGAGGCTCCAGGCTCTGGGAGAGGCTCCAGGCTCTGGGAGAGGCTCCAGGCTCTGGGAGAGGCTCCAGGCTCTGGGAGAGGCCACAGGCTGGGGGAGGCTCCAGGCTCTGGGAGAGGCCCCAGGCTCTGGGAGAGGTTCCAGGCTCTGGGAGAGGCCCCAGGCTCTGGGAGAGGCTCTCTGCTCTGGGAGAGACTCTCTGCTTAGGGAGAGGCCCCAGGCTCTGGGAGAGGCCCCAGGCCCAAGCATGCAGAACAACAACCCGGTCGTTATTTAATCCTAACTGTAAACTCGCCCTACCTGTGGCGTTCTATAAACAGGTGTGACCTCTAACGTGAGTGCTGGTGTGTGTTACATGTTCTTTGTGTGTGTTTGGGTGTGAGAGAGCCGTGTTAAGTCAAACGTTGTGTGTGTGTGGGGGGGTGTGAGCCGTGTTAAGTCAAACGTTGTGTTATATGTGTAAGTTCTAGTAATACTACAACAAAATTACATCCACTCAAGAAGCAAAAATTAAAAGACATTTCACTTTAAAAACCTAGCCAAGAGTATTTGCGTTTATTTCTATGCCACTAGACCCCCTGAAATAAATGCCACTAGACCCACAGTAAATAAATGCCACTAGACACACTGTAAATAAATGCCACTACACCCACTGTAAATAAATGCCACTAGACCCCCTGAAATAAATGCCACTAGACCCACAGTAAATAAATGCCACTAGACACACTGTAAATAAATGCCACTACACCCACTGTAATAGACCTATTGCTTGTTTATGTTTTATTTTTCCTCCGTGAGTTGTTACTGTTTTCTTTTATTTAAGTCGTGTTAAAAAAAAAACTATCACACATGAAAATCCCGTGGTTCCATTTTATTTCTAATGTAACATGCCAGCAAAATGCACAAATGCAAAAAGAGTTTCTTCCAGCGAACAAAATGGAATTTACATAGAAAACATATACTTTTACAAGTGTCCGACCCCTCCCCGGAAAATGTTGTCCGCCCCCCCCCCCCCCCGAAAATATCAAGTGACCCCCCCCCCCCCACCCACCCACCCATCCCACCCCAGAGAAAGAAAAGTCTGAAAAAAACACTTGCATCAACTAATTTGTGTTTTTTGTTACCAGCAATGTCCAGTTTTTTCCTCAAGTTTTTTTGATAAACATCCCGCCACAAGACAAAACAACAACATCACAAAATTAAAGTTTTAAGAGTAATGTTTTTTAAATCGTCAGCACATTCCCGTTCTGCCGTTTTTAAAATTACGTGCACATTCTTTAATTCAAGAAATGGGAACAACGTGGGATAAACACTAGGGCTAATTGGCGATCTTTCGACAGGCAAAATATATTTTATAAAGTGATACAAGGCGGTGTCAGAAGTAGCGGTCCGCACCGGGTGACACCATTTTAGGGGTGACACCATTTTAGGGGTGACACCATTTTAGGGGTGACACCATTTTAGGGGTGACACCATTTTAGGGGTGACACCATTTTAGGGGTGACACCATTTTAGGGGTGACACCAAATCGAAAAATATGTTGTCAAAACAATGTTTCATCCTGTTAAAATAATAAAATAGAGTGGCAGAGGGATGGGATGACACCTAACCGAAAATGTAAAATTGTTGGAGGAGGGGAGGGTCCAGAGTTTCTTCCAGGCATCTCTTCGGGGGGGCTTAGCCCCCCCGAAAATTTTTTACCGCCCCCCCGAACGAAATGAAATTTATATAATTTATATAGAAAATATATACTTTTAACAGTGTCCGCCCCCCCCCCGAAGAAAGTTTGCCGCCCCCCGAAGATTTCAAGTGCCCCCCCGGAGAAAAAAGTCTGGAAGAAACACTGGGAGGGTCACACCCTCAGTCACCTCACAATGTAACACCCGACCCAGTGACGCCACTGTATGTGGGCTGTACAAGCCTACATATACGTGTGCGTATACAAACCTACATAGACGCTATAACTAAAACTCTAAAGACGCATGTTTTCATGTACCAAGAAGGTGAGACGTGACAAGGTCAGACTAGGAGTATAAAATAATCCATGGAGTCGTTCACGCAATCGCTCAGATCGATGGATAAAGGACACGGAACACGTTCGATTTTATTCAATCACACGATTGTTAACTGCTAAAACCTCGATGTTTTTAACATTATATTTGTATCGTTGTATAGAGATGAGGCTAGAAACAGGCCTGTATACTCACTTAACAGCTATTTACAAATAAAAGAACAGCAATTTGCTTGCTCTATTGAGATACTTCGCTGTCAATTAATGGACCCAAAGAGAACTAGAATCTTTACAGTTAAAAATGTATTTATTGTTTCAACCAATTTGCTTAAACAATTTATTAATCAAATCCTTATACACAATGCTAGAAGATTTTTGACGGAATGTGATCTATATGCCTCTTTTAAGAAGCATTGGTTTATTTCCCTTTACGAAAAAAAAAACATTCAAAAACCTATTAAAATTAGTTTAGATTATTCAATGCCATCTCTCCAGTACTCTCTTGTGTTAGCGTAAATATAAATACCTGTATAATTATTTCATGATCACCTGTTATTTTATACTAAAATCTAAATTTATAAAAAAATTGTAAGTTTACCTTCCGAGTAGTTTCTTGGTCTAGAAAACTGGAAGACGTAAGGTTGTCAAAGTTCTTGTAGTTGAGATCGAAACCTTCACGGTGTGAGATGTTGCTTCAAATGGTGCCGTGGCTGATAGCTCGCCAGGTTATATAGAACTCACACCTGTGTGTCACAGCAGAACTGGGCCAAGTTCGTACCAGACGATTCCAGCCCGTGGGTGCCCGGTGAGATCATCTCACGGCGTCATGGCTCAGGTATGGCAGACAGCTCACCTGTACTCTTGTACGCGCGGAGGTAGGAGGATAATGACCCAAACATCTATAGGACACACGGAGGATAATGACCCAAACATCTATAGCACACACGGAGGATAATGACCCAAACATCTATAGCACACACATAATGACCCAAACATCTATAGCACACACGGAGGATAATGACCCAAACATCTATAGCACACACGGAGGATAATGACCCAAACATCTATAGCACACACGGAGGATAATGACCCAAACATCTATAGCACACACATAATGACCCAAACATCTATAGCACACACGGAGGATAATGACCCAAACATCTATAGCACACACATAATGACCCAAACATCTATAGCACACACGGAGGATAATGACCCAAACATCTATAGCACACACGGAGGATAATGACCCAAACATCTATAGCACACACGGAGGATAATGACCCAAACATCTATAGCACACACAGAGGATAATGACCCAAACATCTATAGCACACACGGAGGTAGGAGGATAATGACCCGAACATCTATAGCACACACGGAGGATAATGACCCAAACATCTATAGCACACACGGAGGATAATGACCCAAACATCTATAGCACACACGGAGGATAATGACCCAAACATCTATAGCACACACGGAGGATAATGACCCAAACATCTATAGCACACACGGAGGATAATGACCCACACATCTATAGCACACACGGAGGATAATGACCCAAACATCTATAGCACACACATAATGACCCAAACATCTATAGCACACACGGAGGATAATGACCCAAACATCTATAGCACACACATAATGACCCAAACATCTATAGCACACACGGAGGTAGGAGGATAATGACCCGAACATCTATAGCACACACGGAGGATTATGACCCAAACATCTATAGCACACACAGAGGATAATGACCCAAACATCTATAGCACACACGGAGGATAATGACCCAAACATCTATAGCACACACATAATGACCCAAACATCTATAGCACACACGGAGGTAGGAGGATAATGACCCGAACATCTATAGCACACACGGAGGATTATGACCCAAACATCTATAGCACACACAGAGGATAATGACCCAAACATCTATAGCACACACGGAGGATAATGACCCAAACATCTATAGCACACACATAATGACCCAAACATCTATAGCACACACGGAGGTAGGAGGATAATGACCCAAACATCTATAGCACACACAGAGGATAATGACCCAAACATCTATAGCACACACGGAGGTAGGAGGATAATGACCCAAACATCTATAGCACACACGTAATGACCCAAACATCTATAGCACACACGGAGGATAATGACCCAAACATCTATAGCACACACGGAGGTAGGAGGATAATGACCCAAACATCTATAGCACACACATAATGACCCAAACATCTAAGGCACACATGGAAGATAATGACCCAAACATCTATAGCACACACATAATGACCCAAACATCTAAGGCACACATGGAAGATAATGACCCAAACATCTATAGCACACACATAATGACCCAAACATCTAAGGCACACATGGAAGATAATGACCCAAACATCTATAGCACACACGGAAGATAATGACCTAAACATCTATAGCACACACGGAGGATAATGACCCAAACATCTATAACACACACATAATGACCCAAACATCTATAGCACACACATAATGACCCAAACATCTATAGCACACACGGAGGATAATGACCCGAACATCTATAGCACACACGGAGGATAATGACCCAAACATCTATAGCACACACGGAGGATAATGACCCAAACATCTATAGCACACACAGAGGATAATGACCCAAACATCTATAGCACACACAGAGGATAATGACCCGAACATCTATAGCACACACGGAAGATAATGACCCAAACATCTATAGCACACACGGAGGATAATGACCCGAACAACTTTAGCACACACGGAAGGTAATGACCCTTCCGGGGCGCCAACCTGCGAATTAGACTTTTTTTTGCAGATACCTTCCTAAAGTTTCATGGCGATCTAAATTAGATTCTAATGAAAGGTGTAGTAAAGAATAAAAGACATTAAATAATGTTTTTCAGTAATGTATGATTTATTATCCTTGAATAACAAATACATTAACAACTCAACTTATTGTCTAAAAATCAGAGGTTCTCAATGTGACTTGATATGGGTAGAGTGGAGCTAGAGTGGGGGTCACATACATGTTGACACCATGACAGTGCATGAGGCCTGACTGATGACAATATGAAAGATGATAAAGAAATCAGACGTAAAAGCTGTATGTGGGTAGTTTTCATAAAATATGAACACCAATAGATTAAGTGAAATAATGTCTTTAATATGTGGGAATAGTGAACATAAACATTAATTGAACGTATCACAGAAATTAATTTTAAAATAGTTGTCACTTAGTCAATCACATTTGCCTACAGTTTTAGCATCCACACAAAGCCTACTTCACATTGGGCACATTCATATGTGGTCCATTTATAATCATTACATCCAAATATTTATAATCACTTTACCTTAACACTAACAATCCATACAACATAACAATAAATGATATCAGAAATAAAAAATGGCAAAATGAATGCAATATGCATTAATTAATACTTTAACATAAAATAAAGTTTAAATAAATAAAATATAATTTCAATCAACTTGTTGCATAAAAATGAACCCAAGAACCAAAAGTAATCTTTAAAATTCCTTTTATAAAAAGGAGATCCTCGAAGTGCATTTTCAAGGATTTAAAAATCTTGATGGATTTAAAAAATCATCAGTTTACAACAGCATCCAACTCCTCTCAGTGGTAAAATGTGGTACTCCAATGTTTAGTTAACTGGAGATGACACCCATGTTTTATAAAGACCTCATGCCTACATATCACATAATGTGTTGTGATCTTAAAGTTCATTAAAATAATTTAATAAAACTTATGACGTTATTTTTTTAACTTAAGGTAATCCTCAGTGCATGTTCTGAGTTATTTAAAAAACTGTCAGTGGTTGATGTAAAAACAAAAACCAGACAAGATAAAACACAAACTTAACTGAGAAATAAACACAGCCAGAATTAAAAGAAATAAAAGTTAAAAGGTTGATGTAGAGGACTTGAGCAGATTGAATGCTGCCAGAATGGAAGAATTTGATTGGTTAAATTCTCTCAGCAAGAGTTAATCATCCTGGAACATCTCCCCATAGACGGAGACCCTGCTGTGGAATGTCTGGGCAGGACAGTGCAGGATTGTGGGGTCATGAAAATAATTTAATGTGTAGTTAGACAAGGAGGTGTAGAGACCAGACAGGCTGGGAGCTTTGGACTCCTGCTCTGTCTCCTCTGTTGTACTGGAGAATAGGTTGAGAATTTTTCTTGTGATTGATAGAATGTTGTCTCTCTTGACCTCTAGGGGTGAGGGGGGCGTGTCAGGCGCCATGACGGGTGAGGCTGGATCCTGCTGAGTGCTCTGGGTCTGTATCTGGTGCTCTATGTGGGACTTGAATTTTTCTGTTGTTGGGTTTGGTGACCTGACAGTTTCTTCTGTACTTTGTTGGGGTGTTACCTCCCCTTGACCTGTTTCCATTTTTGTTGAAGAATCACCATCAGATTCTTTACCATCAAATTCTTTACCATCAGATTCTTTGCCCATTTTAATGATGACAACACTTTCCTCGCCTCTCAGAGTTATTTTATGCTGGATGACAGTTTTCCTTTCCCCATCACTGCTTACAACTTTTTCTTCTACAATCATTGCCTGGTTATCTTTCTGTTCCTCTTCATGGTGACTTGCCTCAGGGTGACTTGTGTCACCAGACAACTCACCTTGTGAGGCTACTGGATGTGAAACCTGATCAATTACATTTGAAGCAGGGGCAGTCTCTGGCACATTTGTAGCAGGGACAGTCTCAGGCACATTTGTACCAGGGGCAGTCTCAGGCACATTTGTACCAGGGGCAGTCTCAGGCACATTTGTACCAGGGGCAGTCTCAGGCACATTTGTACCAGGGGCAGTCTCAGGCACATTTGTAGCAGGGGAAGGCTCTGGCACATTTGTACCAGGGGCAGGCTCTGGCACATTTGTAGCAGGGGCAGGCTCTGGCACATTTGTACCAGGGGAAGGCTCAGGCACATTTGTAGCAGGGGCAGGCTCTGGCACATTTGTACCAGGGGCAGGCTCAGGCACATTTGTAGCAGGGGCAGGCTCTGGCACATTTGTACCAGGGGCAGGCTCAGGCACATTTGTAGCAGGGGCAGGCTCTGGCACATTTGTAGCAGGGGCAGGCTCAGGCACATTTGTACCAGGGGCAGGCTCAGGCACATTTGTAGCAGGGGCAGGCTCTGGCACATTTGTAGCAGGGGCAGGCTCAGGCACATTTGTAGCAGGGGCAGGCTCTGGCACATTTGTAGCAGGGGCAGGCTCTGGCACATTTGTAGCAGGGGCAGTCTCAGGCACATTTGTAGAATTCTGCACTGTCTCCACAACTGGCAAATTGTCCCCAGCTTCCAGAATCTTCTTGGCAGCATTGTTGGCCAGATTCTCATACTCAGAATCCTTGTACTGCTGTCTTAACTTTTCTGCTATTTGCACCGAAAGGTTTTTCAATATATTCTGTATCTGCATCTCCTTCAGGAAAATGTGCGTCAGATTTCTCTCCTTCTCAGTAAAACTTGTCATGTCTATAACTTCAAGAGAGCGTTTACCATCAGACTTGTGCTTGTGTGAATCAACTGAGTCTTTATCCCTCCAGGACTTGAAATCTGTATCCATATCCTCAAAACTCTTAAAATCATCATCATCATCATCAGGACTGTCTTCCTTAACATCCTCATCTTCATTAACCTTGACAACATCAACATGTTCACTGCCTTCCACCTCATCCTCCTTACCAACCCCAGCAACCCTCTTCGCTGTCTTCTTTTTGAATCTTTTGTTAGCAGACAACCAGTTGGTTGGTTCTTTGGTTTCCACCAGGCTAAACAGAGAGAGAAGGTCAAGGTTGTCGTGGAACTCCTGCAGCACACGCTCCTCTTCTTTCTTGAAGGCGCTGCAGCAGTGGACGGCGGCCAGGTCGATGGGGTGAGCCTCTGTGTTGAAGACGTAGCCACCGGCCTCTATGACACAGGAGCCGCTGGGTGTGTGCACCACATCGCCGCGGCTGCCGTTGTTGTGGATGAAGTTGTCGGGGTCAAACAAGAGGTACAAATATTTGGTCGTCTCCGCTAGAAAAAAAGATTCCATTCTGTCCTCAAGTCTGTGGTCTCTCACGTCTTTGATCTAGGAGACAAGAAATAAATTGATGATACCATATCACGTCTTTGATCTAGGAGACAAGAAATATATTGATGATACCATATTACGTCTTTGATCTAGGAGACAAGAAATAAATTGATGATACCATATCACGTCTTTGATCTAGGAGACAAGAAATAAATTGATGATACCATATCATGTCTTTGATCTGGGAGACAAGAAATATATTGATGATACCATATTACGTCTTTGATCTAGGAGAGAAGAAAGAAATTGATGATACCATATCACGTCTTTGATCTAGGAGAGAAGAAAGAAATTGATGATACCATATCACGTCTTTGATCTAGGAGAGAAGAAAGAAATTTGATGATACCATATTACGTTCTTGATCTGGGAGACAAGAAATAAATTGATGATATCATATTACGTTATTTGATCTAGGAGACAAGAAATAAATTGATGATATCATATTACGTCTTTGATCTAGGAGACAAGAAATAAATTGATGAAACCATATTAAGTTATTTGATTGAGGAGACAAGAAATAAATTGATGATACCATATTACGTATTTGATCTAGGAGACAAGAAGTAAATTGATGATACCATATTACGTTATTTGATCTAGGAGACAAGAAATAATTGATGATACCATATTACGTCTTTGATCTAGGAGACAAGAAATAAATTGATGATACCATATTACGTTATTTGATCTAGGAGACAAGAAATAAATTGATGATACCATATTACGTTATTTGATCTAGGAGACAAGAAATAAATTGATGATACCATATTACGTTATTTGATCTAGGAGACAAGAAATAAATTGATGATACCATATTACGTTATTTGATCTAGGAGACAAGAAATAATTGATGATACCATATTAAGTTATTTGATCTAGAAGACAAATAAATTGATGATACCATATTACGTTATTTGATCTAGGAGACAAGAAATAATTGATGATACCATATTAAGTTATTTGATCTAGAAGACAAATAAATTGATGATACCATATTACGTTATTTGATCTAGGAGACAAGAAATAAATTGATGATACCATATTAAGTTATTTGATCTAGAAGACAAATAAATTGATGATACCATATTACGTTATTTGATCTAGGAGACAAGAAATAATTGATGATACCATATTAAGTTATTTGATCTAGGAGACAAGAAATAATTGATGATACCATATTATGTTATTTGATCTAGGAGACAAGAAATAAATGATGATACCATATTAAGTTATTTGATCTAGGAGACAAGAAATAAATTGATGATACCATATTAAGTTATTTGATCTAGAAGACAAATAAATTGATGATACCATATTACGTTATTTGATCTAGGAGACAAGAAATAAATTGATGATACCATATTACGTTATTTAAAAGCAATCAATTTAATACATTTCTCAAGCAATTAAAACAAGAGAATAAACAATTACAAAATAAACAATAATATCACTTCAGACAAATCAATCAAGTTTTTGAGTCGCTGATAGAAACAAGCAATTATTTATAGAATAAAATTGTTTTAAAGTAATTAAAGATTAAGAACAGAATCATTACACAGCAAAATCAAGATAGCCAACACATTTTATAATTTCAATGATTTTTAGGATCACCATAAACATTTTAACAACTAAATATACAAGCATGGGGTGTAACCAGAAAAACAATGCCTTAAGTCAATGCATACATGCTGGGAATGGCTGTCCAATGGGGAAACCTAAATGAACTGAAACAACAAATGATCACTGTCTTACTGTAGCATATCCACAAGCTGTCCTGTGGGAAACCTAAATGAACTGAAACAACAAATGATCACTTCCTTACTGTAGCATATCCACAAGCTGTCCTGTGGAAAACCTAAATGTAAACAACAAATGATCACTTTCTTACTGTAGCATATCCACAAGCTGTCCTGTGGAAAACCTAAATGTAAACAACAAATGATCACTGTCTTACTGTAGCATATCCACAAGCTGTCCTGTGGAAAACCTAAATGAATGTAAACAACAAATGATCACTGTCTTACTGTAGCATATCCACAAGCTGTCCTGTGGAAAACCTAAATGAATGTAAACAACAAATGATCACTGTCTTACTGTAGCATATCCACAAGCTGTCCTGTGGAAAACCTAAATGTAAACAACAAAGGATCACTTTCTTACTGTAGCATATCCACAAGCTGTCCTGTGGAAAACCTAAATGTAAACAACAAATGATGACTGTCTTACTGTAGCATATCCACAAGCTGTCCTGTGGAAAACCTAAATGAACTGAAACAACAAATGATCACTGTCTTACTGTAGCATATCCACAAGCTGTCCTGTGGAAAACCTAAATGAACTGAAACAACAAATGATCACTGTCTTACTGTAGCATATCCACAAGCTGTCCTGTGGAAAACCTAAATGAACTGAAACAACAAATGATCACTGTCTTACTGTAGCATATCCACAAGCTGTCCTGTGGAAAACCTAAATGAACTGAAACAACAAATGATCACTGTCTTACTGTAGCATATCCACAAGCTGTCCTGTGGAAAACCTAAATGAACTGAAACAACAAATGATCACTGTCTTACTGTAGCATATCCACAAGCTGTCCTGTGGGAAACCTAAATGAACTGAAACAACAAATGATCACTGTCTTACTGTAGCATATCCACAAGCTGTCCTGTGGAAAACCTAAATGAACTGAAACAACAAATGATCACTGTCTTACTGTAGCATATCCACAAGCTGTCCTGTGGAAAACCTAAATGAACTGAAACAACAAATGATCACTGTCTTACTGTAGCATATCCACAAGCTGTCCTGTGGAAAACCTAAATGAACTGAAACAACAAATGATCACTGTCTTACTGTAGCATATCCACAAGCTGTCCTGTGGGAAACCTAAATGAACTGAAACAACAAATGATCACTGTCTTACTGTAGCATATCCACAAGCTGTCCTGTGGAAAACCTAAATGAACTGAAACAACAAATGATCACTGTCTTACTGTAGCATATCCACAAGCTGTCCTGTGGAAAACCTAAATGAATGTAAACAACAAATGATCACTGTCTTACTGTAGCATATCCACAAGCTGTCCTGTGGAAAACCTAAATGAACTGAAACAACAAAGGATCACTGTCTTACTGTAGCATATCCACAAGCTGTCCTGGCACTGTGCTCAATACTTTCAACAATATCCACACCCATTTCAAGCAGGTACGGATCCTTGGTTGCTTGATACAGATACATGACACTTTCAATGATTTCTGTAAAAATAGTTGTTGTTTTTTGGAACATTTTGTATTTAACTGAAAATCTCAATTTTTAGTCTTAAGTAATCACTGGGAGTAACTAGATGGTTTTTTTAAAGACAACACAATCCTTAATGAACACCTTGATCTGATGATCCAACATACCTGTCTCACCTTGATCTGATGACCAAACATACCTGGTCTCAATGGATAGCCTTCTCTACCCTGGTGGACATCAGCCTTTGGGATGTTGTAATATTCAGGTGTAAAGCCATACTGTCTCCACACTTGATGGAAGTTGTGAATCGTTTTCATCCCATCTTCTATATCTCCTAGAATGGCCTGAAGAATTTTTTAACTTTAAAATTTTGATATCATTCATAAAAAAGTCAGCAGTTTTATTGTCAGATTGAATTTTGAATACCTGAATTCCTGGCCAGAAGCCATCTAAAGATGTAAACAAAGGCAGAGTTATTGACCCCTTGTTCATCTGTGCCCACATGTACCAGTCATCTCTTTTGATGTATTTTTTTATAGGCTCTTCATATTCTACGGCAAAACAAAACACAACTCCATTTGGCATATGCAAAAATTCTGATACATTAAGCATGACATTTGACATACAAGAACGTTCTAGTATATAAACATGACATTTGACATATGAGGAAGTTCTGGTATATTTAACATGACATTTCACATATGTGGAAGTTCTGGTATATTAAACATGACATTTGAGATATGAAGAAGCTCCAACAAAGACTTTACCTCTAAACATGTGCAGAAGTTCTGGTATATTAAACATGACATTTGACATATGAAGAAGTTCCAACAAAGACTTTACCTCTAAACACGTGCAGAAGTTCTGGTATATTAAACATGACATTTGACATATGAAGAAGTTCCAACAAAGACTTTACCTCTAAACACGTGCAGAAGTTCTGGTATATTAAACATGACATTTGACATATGAAGAAGTTCCAACAAAGACTTTACCTCTAAACATGTGCAGAAGTTCTGGTATATTAAACATGACATTTGACATATGAAGAAGTTCCAACAAAGACTTTACCTCTAAACATGTGCAGAAGTTCTGGTATATTAAACATGACAGCTCCTTTGACCAGATACTCAAAATATGAATCAATGCCACCACCAATTCCTGAGTCTAGAGCTGTCCATTTACCATTGCTGACGTCTATATGGTTGCCTAGCTGCAAGTGGTAGAATGTCAGTGTGAATATGAAAGATGTAAACTATTATTTTTAAAAGTTTACTGTACAAATACAAGTCCGTGTATTTCAAGTAAAAAGTATTTTAAGTTTACGTTCTTTGTTTTTTTTTATCAAACTTTACCAATAATAATGTTAAACTAGTCTGAAAGAAGTAATAAGGATTTAACAGTCGTATGAAATTAAGATAAACAGTCCTTAAGAAAATAAAGATATACCAGTCCTAAAGAAGATCTATATTTCCATAAAGATCTTATTGCTCTTATTGCAGCCTTTTCAAAAATGGGGTCTCCAGTTAACCGACTCAAAGTGCCAAACTCAACAATAAAAGTTCCCACGCCTGCTGTACATGTGACTGTGGTCTCACCTTTAGGGACCCCATGGCGCAGGTTCACTGTACCGTATGGCATGCCAGTAGGTGTATCAAAGGCTGAGGAAACAAGCTAAAACTGATTCACATTCAACTTGTAAAATATTAACATGATTTTTATCACTGTAATTAATCATATCTAACAATGGATGTTTTTCATGGTCAACATTGAATGGAAAGTTCAAAAATTATTATGAGATGGTAACGGTATAGCAATATTTCAAGGGAGTATATTTTTTTTTTTAAAGTTTCTTTAGATGCATCATGTCAATATGTTTATTAACTGCTGTTTTATTTTCTTTAAAATGTTTAAGAAACAATATTTTTGACTGTACCTGGTAAAATTTTCCTGGCAATGTTGTCTGCCATCCTCAGCAGAGGGCCTGAACATGGCCAGGCTGGCTCTAAGACCATCCCAGCTCTCTTCATGAGCAGGTGGCCAGATAGAAGACCCCCAACAACTATAAAAAAGAAAAATATTTCATTCATGACGTTCGAGTAACATAGTAACACTTATTAAAATACAGACATCAACATAAACTCAAAGAGTGAAATCTATTAACGTGCAACTTTACCTTTTCTAGTACAAGCATTACAGATAAAAATTTAGTTTGAAGATGATGAATAAAACCCTAAGAAAATAGAACATATTTATATTTACTTCGTATGTTTGTCTCAAAAACAGAAGCATTAATATCAATGTCAAAGAAACTTTCTCCTTTGTCTATTAAAATCTGTGCAATCCGTCGAAACTCAGAGTAGTTTCCCATGACAGCCAGTGTATCCATTGCATCAATCAATGTCAAAGAATAACTAGAACAAAATCAGTAACAAATTTAGAGCTCACTATTACTTTTAGTAATGGAGAGAAATTTTAAACTATGAAAAATTGACGTATTCATTTTTAAAGATTTTTTATAATAAGTAATAAAAGGTTTTTTAGATCAGTTATTAAGTTATTATTAGAAGACTAAATATTGTTTCTAAATTATAAATTATAAAGATTATCAGATAATTAACTGAAAAGTGATTGTGTCATTTTATTCTACGATTATCACAATGAAACAACATTATTGAAAGTTTTTACACATTTTGTGAATATCAATTTACCTGCCCCAAGTGTCATGACCCCCACAGGTCAAAGGCTGTAATTCATCATAAGGATAGGCATATTTTAAATAGCCTTCATAAGCATGGTAAAACATATTTTTTACTTTTTCTCTGTAAACAAAAAAAGGGTGTTTCAAATAGTTGCTTAGTAAAACTCCACTAAGAATTACAACACTGTATATAGATCTATACCCAAGCTTCTTACACTTAAATATTAATAAAGTATTTATAAGGGTTAAATAAATTCCATTTTATCCTTTAAATCCATCTCCCATGGTAATTTATTTTTGTTAAGGGATGACACACAATACTATGCGTGTGTGGTATGCGGCCTGACTTATTGTTTATATTACTGTTTGAGTCTATAATCAACTCAATGCTACAAGCCTGCTGGTTGGCTGAGGCCATGGCAGGGCAGTGTTTCTTAAAGGCATTTCTTCAGGGACAGGGGGGATCATCCTCAAAGCATGTCTATCACCCCCCCCCCCCCCAACAAAATATAATTTATAGGCCCTACTTTATTTAGGACTATTATACAAAATATATATTATTATGTAAGCCCCTCTGAAAATTTTGTCCTCCCCCCCCCCCCCCCCCCATCCCAAGAAAAAAGTTGTAATAAACATAATAAATGAACACTGCATCTGGGCTTGTTCAAAGGTTCGATTCTCAATAAATTTAAATATTGTCCTTCAAAAGTATTAGATATCGAAGTGACTACTCGGAAAAGATTTTTTACCCCAGCGTCTCCACCTTGTCGGCAAAAGATAGTTCTGCGCTTGTGCAGTGACTTTAATAGCTGAGCTAGGGTTAGGGTTATGCAATTGTAAACACTCGCATGCGCAGTACCATCGAAAACATTGCAGCGAAGGCAAGTCGTAGTTTCTCTCCAGTGCGCATGCATATCTTTTTCTGGCTAGAATAGGCCATTAGATATCCCTTTCTTTCTACTACTTAGAATTTAGGGCTGTAGGCCTACTTACTACGCTTACAATACTATCAATATCACTATTTTTATCAACTTCAAGTAGGCTTAAAGTAGGCCTAAGCTAAGGGCTAAGACAAGAGTAAGTAAGTACTAAGTTAGGTCTAAGTACACTAGATCTAGTAGTAGATCTAAGGTAGTCTAGTAAGTACAGTAAGTAGTAAGTAAAGTTTAGTAATAGTAAAGTTACAGTAAAAAAGTAAGAACTTAAGAAGTAAGCAACTATCAACAAACCTATACAGCGTTACATTGATTTCTCCCACTCTTGTTTTACTTTCAGATATAACAGGCAGGTGAATTATAATTACTATAATTGAGAGTATTCCAGTATAACTAGGTCTACTAGAACTGAACTGAATGCTATAAAAATGCTTCATTTGCAAGCCGATTTGTAAACATCGACATCAAGGTCTTACTAGATAACGATACATTTGAAACATTAAGAATAATAATAATCATGCTCATTGAGTTCCTGTACAATATAGATCTATTATTAAATTAAACATAAACAATAAATATTTAGTTAAAGATATTAAACTATAGTTAAACAAAAACTTGATTTATAGGCCTATAATGTTAAATTATTTAGTGGTTACATTTTGACAACATTATTACATTAAAACTTGTCTTTTTTTTTTTTTCCACAGACAAGCAATTTCTGTGCATGTTTGGTTTTTAGTATGACAGCCATTCGATGCAGAACGCTTGTCTCAAGTAACTCATTGTTTACATTAGTAAATAAATTATCTACATTTTTTACAGGCTAACATTTGTTTGGAAGTTGTTAAACTAGATCTAAACTAGAAAATTACAGTAAGTAAGTAGGCCTACTAAGAAGCAGATCTAAATTAGATTAGAAAATTTGGTAATCGATCTATATTCTATCGGAATCTAAAACTAAACTGCTAGATCTAAATAAAATTAAATAAATTCTATCGTTTTGTGTTTTACTAAACTAAAACTTTTACTCAGAGTAGGCAGAATCAAAAGAATGGGTAGATTGAAGATTCTAATCTACACGTAAAATCGCCCGCGGCTAGATCTAGTAATGTACGAAAAAGTTACCTCATTGTCAAGGCTTTAGGCCTAGTAATAGAAATATATTGTGATATATTTGTGTCAAATAGTTATATTATAGATAGGCCTAAATGAATAATAAACCTAAATCAATGGCTAAATATTAAGGCTGATGCTAGCCGGAATAACATACGCATGCGCAATGGAGAGAAACTATGACTTGTCATCGCGGCGATGTTTTTGATGGTACTGCGCATGTGTGTGTTTACAACCATAGAACCCTAACACCAACCCTAACCCTAGCCATAGGTCACTGCGCATGCGCAGAGCTATCTTTTGCCGACTAAGTGGAAACGTTGGGGAGAAAAATCTTCTTCCGGGTAGTCATAAGTCACTTCGAAATATTAAATATAGGCCCTATAGGTAGCTAGGCCAATGCCGCTGCCGAGAAAATCGGACAAATCGGCTTTTCCCTACCCCCAGCATGTTTAACTCTGTTTTTTGCATGCTTTTATTGTGTTTATTTTAACATGTTATACATCATTCTGTTCGTAATTGAATAACCTTTTTAACTGTATTAGTTTGATTTCTGTATTATTTCAGACGTTGAAGAAATCGCCGATTAAATCGCATTTTTTACCCCCCGCGGCGACGTGCCGATTAGGGGGGAGGCTTTTTCACCTTTTTAAAAGGGGGGTGTTACTTGGAGTCTATAGACTCTGTGAGTTTTCGTACTACAACTGTGAAACTTGGTAGAAGAATAGATTAAATGTACACGTATAACGCTCAGGGTTCTTGGTTAAAATATGTTAAATACTTTCGGAGATATCGGACCGCAAAGTTAAACTAAGTTATTTGAGCTATTTATGGACCGATTTTGTATTTGAACCCTGAGCTGTATTCCTGAAATCTCGACGTTTATTAATATGTATCATATGTCCTATAAGGCCCTATAATAAGGACGTCTATAGACTTTGAAATGGACCGAAAATATAAACACGACGCGCCGACCACTGTTCGACAGAACCGCCCTGCTGTGCTTCGAATCGCCGTCTTTAACCTGATGACGCGTTACAAAATTTGTATACACGTATCGAGTTTACGTACTACAACAGTTAAATTTGGCAGACGAATACATTAAATGTAGACGTATAACGCTCAGGGTTCGTGGTCAAAATAAGTTAAATACTTTTGGAGATATCGGACCGCAAAGTTGAACCAAGTTTCCCGGTCTATTATTGGACATATTTTACATTTGAACCCTGAGCTGTATTCCCGAAATCTCGACGTTTATTTAAATGTATAACATGTATTATAGCGCCTCGTAATAAAGCCGTCCATACATTTTAAAACCGAACGAAAATAAAAATTAACGCGTCGGCCGCCGTCCGACTGAATCGCTCTGCTGTGGTGATCTACACATCGTGTGGCACAGCCGAGTGTGTGGTCACGTGACGCTAGGCGCTTGATCCGATTGGATGATACTATAAACAATGTCTAAAGATAGATACATGTGTTCCCGTGTTTGACTCGACGGCTATTGCTACTTTATATTTATAAGCACACAGACATGTTGCATAACTTTGTCTTAACCCATTGAAACGTCAAACAAAAGTTTTGTTAGTATTTACGGCTGAGGACTAATCGTCAAAATTATCTTCTTTAGAAATTAATCCGAATAGCTTCGGCCCGATCAAACAATGCTGTGATGTGATTCGTGTAACGTTTCATAATTGTGTACATTGCATTTTCGTAAAATTGGCTTTAAAAAATAAATTAAATTATAGATCTATCCGGGGCTCTTTTCTACAAATTTTAATACCACTAACAACGTGGGGGTTTCTAGCTTGCCAAATCGACCAAAATGGGGTGGGGTGGATGGGGGTAGCCACTGACCATCCCACACCGTATGTAACACCCGTAGCCTCACCCCGCCCCCACTAGTCCGTGACGCGACAAGCCGACGAGCATCGCTTTTGATGTTGTATAACACCCGTACGGTACACGGTGGTTTCATACCCCACCTCCCTCCCCCTTCACTTTGTGGAGTTGATGTTACTAACCCTCGGGCATAGATCAGGAAATCTTACCAGACTTTTGTCTCTGAAATTACATAATATTCGTCTGACACGTTCATCGGGTTGGCCGACTAGCCTATCCAGCGGTGGTGTTTACGTAATAGGGCAATAAAATTCGTTGGTCAGAAGACCTGGTTACCCACATGTCTGATTGAACTAAATCTAGGCAATAGCTGGTGGTGGTACACGTGTCTGTGTATACTGTATAGCCAAACACGGTAATCTTACACAATTTCTACACAATTTCTAGAATCTACTAGATCTACACAGTCAAGCACTCAAACACGTGTTTTTTTTCTTAAGAAAGTTGTTAATTGTAAAAGGCCTATACTGGTAGGCTTACAAAATACATAAACCTACTTACTACTAGCCTAATCATTGAGCATAAATATAAATTTACGAGCCGGCCCGCGGCATAACATACGCCGCTATTTAGTTGTTTCTAATTTTCAATAATTCATAATTTGTGAATTCGACAGTACCAACGCTGACACTGAAAATATTTCTTTAAAACACTATAAGTAGCTCGTTAAGGACCATAACCCCCCCCCCCCCCCCCTACGTTTAAAATCGTTGGCTCTGCTTGTAAACATTTAGAGTGAACACAGCTCACTAAAACCATGTAGGGGTGGGGAGGTAGGGAGAGCGTTTGCAGCTTGTTTTCTAACGGCTCGAAGAAGAGAATTATATATATAGATGTTATATATCTATAACTTACACTATACCTTGTGCAAGTTTTTAAACAAAATATTTTTGGAATAGAGTAGGCCTATGGTATTGCACATAGATTACATAACATCTTTTAAGAAGTTACATAATCACAAATTTACTATAGCATTCTTCTCTTTGTATTGAAAAACTTGATTAGTTATATTTTCTTCTAGTAGGCTATTAACTTGAAGTTAACTGACAATGAGCAAAAGTGATTTTAAAACAAATTCATGGTATATTTTGAGCAAAGGGTGGGATTACATAACCTTAACATTTGATAGTTATGTAACAATGTTGGACCATTTTAAATCTACCATTATCTTGAGCTTATACAAATGTCATATTTTAGATTAAAACAGCGTTACATTTAAAAGAATGACTTCCTATCACATTAATTATTAGATGTTTAAAAAAAAATTGACAGGGGGATATTACATAATCTATGAGATTAGTAGGTTGAGTAATCGAATGACACTTTTTAAAATAGCATCATTGGATTCAGCATACAAAAATCTATAAAATGTCTTAAAATTACATCAATTGATAAAGTATTCTGGCTTTTATACCACTTTTAGTGAAAAACGCTTAAAAATTTGGTCCATACCCTCCCAGTATTTTTCCTCTTTCAGGGTCTACCCCGGTTGTCTGAAAAAAGTGTTGTTTTTTAATGACTAAAAAATTCATAACTTTTTTGTTTATGGTCAGATTTTGAAAATTCAAACTGATCTGTAATCAGATTGACAGCCCCTATCCAAATATGTAACTATTATATTGTTTTACTGAAATTAAATTTTTGCATTGGCCTAGCTACTATAGGCCTACTCAGGATATATATATCTACTAGGCCAGAAATTAACTTTAAATAGCAGTGTTTGCTAGCAAGATTTGCTATATATTATATATTAGGCCTAGGGCCTATATTATATTAATATATAAACAGTTCCGCCATTTTTAAAGTAGAGTGGTTTCCCCTTTATCTCGCACTATAAGTTTACAAAAAAACTCAAACGAGATGTTTGCTATAGTTAGTAAATGGTTGCATCTGTTGGAAACATCGCTAGTCTTCATTTATTACTGAAAAGTTTTAATTCAATTGTTTAAAAACAGGTACAAAAATGAAACAAGGAATCATCTTTATAATTTTCAAAACATAAATCCTCCTCAAAATGTGAAATAATTATTAAAATTTAAGGAGTCACCTGTTTTTCACAATACTAGTCGCTGGCGATTTTATGTACCTAAAACGATAGATTACCTTTTAGGTAATGATTTGAAACTAAGGGGAGATAATAACATGTTCTGCGTGCTCTCTTCATTGTCGCCTGTAAACTGTCGTCACAAACAGCTGCTATCACTGAGCCGGGGGGGGGGGGGGTGGAAAGTGAGGGTGACGATAATCGTCCTTCACTAGCTACTGATAGTGTTTTAAATATTTTCAGCATTGGTAGTGTCGAATTCACAAATTATGAATTACTGAAAAATAGGAATTAAACTAAATGGCGGCATATGCTACGTCATGGGTCAGCTCGTGTGAAATAATTACTAAAATTTAATGAGTCACCTTTTTTTCACATTACTAGTCTCTGCAGATTTTACATACCTAAAATGATAGATTACCATTTATTTTATAGATTAGCCTACCTATAGATACACATAATGAATAGGTCAAGTCTAGTGTATACACAGACACAGTGTTATGATGGGATGATAGCAAAATGAAGTGACAACACATGTCGCAGAGCGCTATATTTTTAAAATTCCGTATATGGTACTATCTGGAAAATAATTCTACTATACCCTATACATATATATAACCAATAAACTCTAATATACAAATTCAGGCCCAGTAATAAATAATCTACTAAGTATAAATTAATATGCTATATCATGTTTCGAAATTACAATATATATTTCGACATGCAGTAAGAAAATGAAGCAGTGTTTATTTCCTTTGGAATTTGCCATCTTGTGATTGGAAATGCTTACTTATTCCTTTTAAAACACATCGGGTGTGGTTGAGTTAATAGTGTGGCAGCTGAAGTTCACAGACCTGAAGCTCAGAGTTCGAACCCAGAGTTAGCACGACCGGTATTAATGTCTTTTTACATTTTATTTTTTTCATATTAAAAATATAACTGGTGATTTTTTTTTTATAAAATTTCCAAACATCGTCACTCGCATTATTGCTTGCTTACATCTACTAGATTCTATCCCGTAAGTGAAAAATCCCACGACGGTCGGCATGGTCACTGTGAGTTCAGCAGGCCTATGAGCCCTATGGCATACGTCATAGAATGAACCCAAGTTCTAATTAAGATCAGCTGTGTCTTCTATTCTCACTTCAACCCCCCCCCCCCCCTCAAGCAAATTGAAAAACAGACCTACTGCTGGTCCTTTTTTTGAAGTTCACATAGGCTTAATAATATAGACATAGATCTACTATTGGTCATTTTTAAAGTTCACATAGGCTCAATAATATAGACTTTGATTTACTATCACGCATGCTAGATAGTATAGCTGTAAAAGCAATTTACTAAAGAGCAGTTCGATTTAGCTAGATCTAGGACTCTCATCTGACCCAGTGGCGTAGCCAGAATCGTCTCAAGGGGGGGGGGGGGGTGCCAATCGAAAGTTTGTCCCCGGGTAAAAATTGAAACACACACCCCCCCCCCCCCCTTGAGACGATTCTGGCTACGCCACTGGGTCAGATGAGAGTGTTCCAATTTTTACCCTCAAACTTTCGATTTGCTCCCCCCCTCAAACTTTTGATTTGCACCCCCCTTTATATATATATATATATATATACCGAGGGGTCTATGGGGGGGTTATGACCCCCCCCCCCCCTGCCTACGCCACTGATCTGACCTACAACTGACACTTTACTGTCAAGAAATAAAACACTTAAACTAGATCTAGATCTATGTCAACATTAAATTGCTAAGACGAAAAAAATCGGACAGTCCTGTTATCTATTTTTTTTTAGATCGTGTGCGACCTAGGGTAAAGATTTAGCGCAACGTGGCGTGGACCGTGCAAATGTGGCCAATAGCAAAAATATACTCCGTTACTAACTTACTTAGTAGTGTTTAAATATTTTAACATTATTATTTTTCTCTTTTAGTACTACATACAGGATTAGTTCTGCCAAATCTACATCAACCTAGTCACCATGTCGTACATGCTGCAGCATCTACACAATGGTTGGCAAGTTGATCAAGCCATACTTTCAGAGGAGGACAGGGTAGTAGTTATTCGTTTTGGACATGATTGGGATCCTACCTGTATGGTAATGGATGAAACACTGTATAAATGTGCTGACAAAATGAAGAATTTTGCTGTTGTCTATCTAGTGGATATTACTGAGGTAAAGATTTTATTTTGTTATTAAATTATTTAAATATGTTAAATAAATACATTATTTTTACATGGTTGGTTTATTATACTAGCAGTCAGAACCCATTACACATCTTTGAGAAAAATGTTTTATAAAATAGTTATTGGTCAAACCTCAATTTTCTTTACTACATGTTGAACTATACAAAGCAAAGAAATAACCAAATAGCAAAAAATCTGGCACATTAAAAATAACATAGGCTACCAATACCTATTAGAAAGACCAAATTATATACATAATTAGTCAACACAATACCATATTAAATGATTAAGAGAATAAAATTATTCCTTTAAAAACCAGACTGTTTAATTGTATTTCTGCTTTTTTTTTTTTTTTTAAAGTAAATTTTTTAAGAAAATTGAATATATTTCATAGCATACGTCCCAATAAGTAGATCTAAATCAAATTTTAATGAAATAGTTCATTTCTTTATATTCTAAAATTGGAAGATGACACCATTAATTTTGTGTTCTTTCCGTAGTTTAAACATGTGGCATGTGACTTCATTGTTTATTGTGTTCTTTTCACAACAATAAATGCTTTTCCGGTTGCATAATTAAAGTTGTTTCTATATTCAAATATGCCTTTATTTTTATTTTCTTTCTTTAAATAAAATTTAGTTTTTACATTAATAACATCCACCATATTATTTTTCAACAAACGTCTGTATCTTTAAGTTCTCCATATATCACTGAACATACTGATCACATCGCCTAAAAAAAGGACAGAGAGAGAGAAGTGCACACATGGGCTTTTATATATTAGGATATTTATTTAAAATGTAATAGTACATTACTGCAATAAATGTACTACATTGTTTAAGCTGGTAATCTCTTACTCTTAGCATTACTATCAATTGATTCTTTGAATAACTTAAATTTTGCTAGGTAAACTGTACTAACTAGTGGCAACTGCAAAATTAGGTTTAATTCAATATTGAGCTGTATCCAAGACTTGCTTCAGTTTGTTTTCCTCCACAAAAATTTATTTTATTTTTCTCTTTAGGTACCAGATTTCAACAAAATGTACGAGTTATATGACCCATGCACAGTTATGTTTTTTTATCGCAACAAACATATCATGATTGATTTGGGTACTGGTAACAATAACAAAATTAACTGGAGTATGGAGGATGTACAAGAATTTATTGACATTGTGGAAACTGTTTATAGAGGTGCTCGTAAAGGCAGGGGTCTTGTTGTTTCTCCAAAGGATTACTCCACTAAATACAGATATTAAAATATTAATCAGTGTTAATGTTATATAAATAAAAATTAATGTTTTACAAAGTTTATTACTATTTTAGTTGTCTTTGATATGTTGTTGCATGTTTAAGATCTTTTGAAGATTACTTAAAAAGCTAAGTAAACATCTTTTCCCCGTTATATTTGTCCTATGTGTAGCCTATACGGTCTACACAAAGTTGAGCATAAATATTTAAAAACTAGGTATAGCTAATTAAAGCTTTCACCTAATCAATTTACAAGCAGAAGTCAGTTTTGCATTGTTACTTTATTATCTGAAAGTATCTGGAATTGTATATATTTATAAAATACTATATACACAAGCTTGTCAGTAGTTAGAAAGATTGATAGCATTGTACATAACAAAATGTGTTCACAATTTCATTAGAAACAAGGTTTCTTCTATAAAAAATGTCATTCTAACTGCAAAAGACACCTTGTAAATAAAAAAATATTTATAGATAATCAAAATGAAAATTACCACAACCAAAATAAATGAATATGAAATTTGTTTTTAAAAAACATTGTCGTTGCCTAATATTTTGTACAAGTCAATTGATTGTTTGAATAAATAATGGAAATTGTGTGGCAGTCTCATCAAAATATAAGTATAACATAGCACAAATATGTGTGAAACAGGCTAAATAATGTAAAGATTATGGGGGTCATCACAAATGACATTTAACAGCTGGAGAAATAAATGTCAAATATCTTATTTTCAGCTTATTTTCTCAACTCCCAAGTTTTTGTTGTTGTTTTTTAATCACTTTGTTTTCACAAACATCAAATGAGCAGAAGAAGATAGTTATTAAAATTGCAAAATATACCTATTTTCAAGAAAGTGCATATAAATGCAAAATAGCAGCCACAATCAGAATTTTTTAAATGCAAACAAAGTTTGATGTCATACTTTCTGAACTTTTCACTATCAATAGTCCAGCACTTCAGAAAGTGCAGTTTTATATGAATGACCCCTTGTATAATATGATGGTTAAATGGAGTAAAGTCTGAAGTTGACTATGGAGAACACATTTAATACTTGACATGCTAATGTTAAAATGTTGGAAAGCTAAGTCATTATAAGGATAGTTAAAAATTGTATGCATTAAATTCTAAGATAACCACAATAGTGCAGAACAAGCAAATAATTATCACAAAATCAATGTATTACAGACACTTCCCAGCCAAAGCTTGGTTTGCTTTCTTGATTGATTTTAACTGACAACTTCTTCTGGTAAAAAAAATTAAGCTGTTAATAAATTAAAATCTAGAATCATAGCTAAAAGATTATGAACAGCCACAATTCCATTTAGTCATTTATTCCAGAAAAAAACATAACTGACATTGTAGATTATACTTTATAGAGCTAAAGCATCTGTTATTCAAATTTATTAAATTCTTTACGGGAACATGAATGAAGACAAAATATCACAAATACTTGCAAACCAGTTAAAAAGGATTCATTATCAGATGACTGTTTTTGTAGCCACAACAATGCTCGATGTTTTCTTTAATTTGTAATATCTTCAAAGACCTGCGTTATTTTTAATTTATACAGCAAATATTACCCATAAGACAAAGCATAATTCCTGAATATACACATTTTTTATTAGCATAAAGTAGAGAAAATGTTTACTATGAAACAAATGAAAAATCACACTGTACAAAATTCAATAATTATCTACATTTCTTTGATAAAAATATTCCTCTAATGAATGAATAAATATCAATAAGTAATTACAAAGTCAACTACTAGGAAAAAGATTTTAAAAATAACGTATCAAATTAAGTACAATGTCTCATTGTTTTTACATTTTTATGTGCATTATACACTAACCTTGAGTTTTGTCTCAGTACATAAATTTACATAAAAAAGTTAACACTAATAAGTTAAAGTATTAATTTGGAGCACAGGGCAATTCTTTTTTTTTTAGATAAGAGATACAACATTATAACAATTTAAATTGTGACCACACTGTACACTCCTCCACATCAAGCTTCTACTGTAGCCTTAGTGTCACAAGACTTCAATATTAAAAGTCATCACTCACAACTATTGTCTAGTAGCATCTACTTGTTAAATATATATTAGAAGCAACCTAAAAAAATGTTTAATACACTTGAATATCTAAATAAGTTATTACTAGTTGTAAATAGACAGTGATATGTTATTTCACACAAATATTGTATGCACAAAACAAATTTTAAAAATATTTTTATATATTTGGTTATTTTATGTAGTTTTTAAATAATTATTCTCCAGGGTTTATCAATATTATATCATTCTTATATTTACACATTTAAATAAACATAATAGTAAACTTACTCTTGGTATAATACTTTTAACAATACAGCAAAAGGAAAGTAAACCATTTGAATTTAGTTTATGAAAAATTTTCTGAACTTTTAATGTTCAGTCAGAACGCTTGATATACTCAAATGCCGGTTAACTGAAACTTTTAAAATAAATATTTAATAAAGGGGATATTTTTCTTGTGTATGCCTTAATAACCCAGAAATTATATGTGGTTAATATAATAATAATTGTATATCAAGGCATGGTATTTTTTTTCTTATTTAAAGTGTAGAATGAATTTCTAATTTATTTACAGAAAACAGATAAACAACATACATTTCAAAAAGGTAAAGAGAAAAATTTAATTGATTAGATTCCAGTCAATACATTAAGTATTAGAAACACCAGGTTAAATTGTTAAAAATCAGATTCCTGTTCAGATGTTAATCTGAACCCATTAAATAGAAAACAATTTTTTTAAATAGAAATCTATAAAGAATATCATTAGCTGATCAAATGAATTATTTATTTTAGGCAGTAGTTTTATAAAAGATTACATGACTATTTATTGTAGATATTTAGTTTGACAGGCATGATGAGTTATTCTGATTGGCTTCTTATATTTGTTGAACTTAAACACCATTATTAGAATTTTAGTTTTTAGCTCAAATAAAAACGTACAATTAAAACAGACACATTTAAGTCATTTATTGTAGTTTACATATTTTTCCTCCATAAAAATGTATTAAAAAGTAGTTTTTCATAAAAATAGGTAGATGTATGTGCTGTATGTACATTAAAGTTTTAGATCATCTCAAACCCAGGAATCTGCTCCTCCTCCACTACCATCCATGTTGTGATGTATCCCTGTTGTAGAGCCTGTGTTCAACATTTGTGAATCATATGGATCATTCCGGCGCCGGTTTCCTTTGTTGACTTGTGCATATAGAGGTTCAGACTGGAGGGTTGCTGGTTCAGCCTGTGTCCATAAATAAATTTATCAGTGTTTCACTTTATGTGCATTGTGAGCAAATAATACAAGTTACTATTCATGTGTTATTCCTTTAAACCTTTGCCAATTGTTGGCTTATTAAATAATGAGGATTAATTACAGAGATGAAAACAAATCTTACAATATAATTAGGAAATATATTTAGGCCCTACCTCCAGAAGTTAATTACAGATTTATTGTATTACAATAAACATATGTACAAAGCCATTAGATTTAAATGATTAGTTATCTTGTAGTCAAATGAAATATAATTCATTACACTTTTTAATATTTATTTGCTATTTACTTTTTACACAACAGTAATTTTTACTTAAAAGTAAATTAAATAGGAAAATTATGACAATCCATTGTTAATAATGTATTTGTCTTATAAAAATAAATAAACCGGGAGTGATCTCCCCTAAACTTTCTCGAATATTCTTATATAAAATAACAGGGGATGGGAACTCGGGCTATAGACATGATTTTTAATCCATTTTAAATACTTAAAGTTTTAAAAATAGAATAAAATCTCGTAGACAAATTAATTGCACACCAAGTGAACGCCAAATAAAAAAGCGCATAATGGTGCGCAATATTATTATAACTTTTAAAATTTACATTAGTTTTTTGAGAAATCGGAAGTAGCGTAAAGTACTACTTCCAGTCATCGGAAATGACTCAAAATTTAATAGAAGGTAGAGAATTAGATCTTTTACTTACATATGAAATTTCATTTATCTATCTGAAATAGTACTCAAGTTATAGGCTTTTGAAAAATTCAAAGTAGGAAAAGTACCACTTCCGGTTATCGGAAATCGCTCAAAAGTTGATACGGATCTACGATTTTGATTAAATACCTATATATGAAATTTCATCAACCTAGCTGTAACGGTACTCAAGTTATCGTGTTTACACACGGACAGACAGACACACAGACAAGATTGCAAAATTATGTTTTTCCGTATCAATGAGGTGTGAAACGTCGAGATTTGTAAAAATCTCGATTTTTTTTTTTTTTTGCACGATTACAAGACTTTCTCTATACTTCGTATATACGAGAAAGTAAAAAAGGGCTCTGTATATGGTGACTTATCCAATCTAGCAATCATATCCCTGTGTCAGGTGACACTGAGTATTGAGCATGGACAGTCTCTTTATTTACACTAAGGAAGTCTACAGTAATTAACCTAATATGGGATCACCAGAAATGTTTATATCATGTATTCCCAAAAAAATAGTATTGTGAAATCTTACATTTTACCAAAAATAATTTTCTGTAGAATAAAAACACTTCTGTTTTTTTTTTAATTGGTGTATAACTTTACATTTGTGTGATTGCTATTTTAGAAAGTCAGAAATGTCATACTTTAAACAAAAATCTCTCATTTGTAGAGGAATTGTAACAAAAGAGGTGGGGGTAGTAAAGAAAATATTTTAAATCTTGTCATTGAAAAGCTTATCGGTGTAACTTGTGCTATTTAAACAAAGTGCATTTTGTTCATCAGCACAGCCGTAGATCAAATTTCTTGACGCTCCCCATATTTTTCCATTTGGTTTTCAATAGAAAAACAATGTATCCACACAATTGAATACTTACAGGAGTAAGGTTTGGAAACAAAGGTACACCCCCAACAGGTGCTTTAGTTCTGTGTGGACGGGGCTCATCAAGAGGGGCATAGCCTGGACTAAGGTCATTAGCAGCCAGGTCAGTCATCTATTTAAAAAAAAAACAAGTTGTAGGCAACTTTGTTTTCAAATTTGAGATACTCTAAGAGTGAGATTATTATTTGATACATACCTGAACAGTTTCTCTTGGATAACCATGACTATCTGTAAAACAAATTAATATTTACATTAAAGATAATGTTTCACAAGTTCTTCAAAGTTGAAATTTAAATATTACAAAGCTTATATTAAGTAAGTAGGACTACAATTTCTAATGTTCATTGAAATATTAGAATAATTGTGGGTTAAGTTCTATAGAGACCATCATCTTTGAATTTGTAGATTTAAAAATTTCATAACAAAAAAATCACATCGAGTATTTATCAAACATTACAATAAAAATGTACAGCTGCTATAAACTGGAGACATGGTTAACAGAAACTATTTCTACAGAGCACGTACCTTTACTATCGTTGCGATTAACCTGCCTAAAGCTTTCCATTTCTCCTGGCTCATTATAGAACCCACGCTGCTGCTGAGCTCGCGCAGGTGTGAGGGTGTTGTCGTCATAGCCTTGTCCAGATACAGGCCGACTTAGTGTGTTATATGGTGTTGTATGATTACTAGAGACAGGTGTCCTGGACATGTCATTAGATCTAGAGTTGTCAAGTCTACAGATGGAAAAAAACAAATATGACAAAATTAAAAAACTTTCCAACCAATTTTGTTAAGAAAAAAACATCTAGAATTTTAAAAGCTTACCTTGGTTTGGCTTTAGACATTGTGAAATCTGTTTGGACATATTTTAATTTTGTATATTCAGCATGTAAAGCCTTGTAACTCCATAATGTCTTAAGAAGCTGAAAGTGAAAAATCAATCAGTTATTTCAGAGAGAATCTTATAAATGGGAAAATATTATTTGTAATTTTTTTAACTAAGATCATCTGTACATTCTCTATACCTGTAAAGGGAAACAGAATTATAAAGCTGACAACACAAACAACACTAATGTAACAGTTTAATTTGTGTTCAGACGAATAACAGTTTCAAAATGTCCATGTTAAGTCAAAAGTTTTTAAAATTGTGTAAATGCTCACAGTTTGAGTAAATTTGAGTGTCCTAGCAAGGTATCTCCCTTCTGATGTGTTAATATGCATTAAACGATGAAGACCTTCTTCTTGAACCAAAGCTCTGTTGATTTAAAAAAAGGCACAAAGTTAGTTGACATGCGTGAATTAAAAGTTGACCTTTATCAGGATTATTTAATGGTAATCTTATAATTCAGATCAGAATCTTGTTCTAGCTTTGAACATACTAGATGTCAACCTACAGAGCAATAATTTTGAACATACTAGCTCTAGATGTCAACTTACAAAGTGGTAACTTTGTACAAACTAGATGTCAACTTACAAAGCACTAAGCTTGAACATAATAAATGTCAACTTACAAAGCAAAGTCCTGGTTGTCTTTAACAACCTCATATAATGTAGCTACTACGGCACATATTGTATCATCAGGCATGTTACTGCGGTTGTCCCTTGGAAGTCTGCTAACAAGTTGTCTGATGGCATATTTTCCTAGTAACAGTAAAAACAATAAATTAAAGATAGCACACAAATAATTTCCTTCAGCTGATCAATACAATAAGTGTTGCTTACCAACTAGTTCTTTATTTTTCTCATCAATGGCTAAGTTCCTCAGTGCTGTAGCTGTTGCACAAACAACCCTGTCGCTTTCAGCTGAGAGCAAGTCAACAAGTAGTGGCAATCCCTTTTCTTTTCGCACCATTGCTCTGCTTTCAACAGCAGGCTGGGTATGAGATCATTAAACTAAGTTTCACAAAAATGATTTGATGGAAAGGCACAAACCAAGTATGATTATTCAATGAAATTGGTTTCAAGATTGTAGGCTTACTTAAAATTATTAAAATGTCTGGAAAATAAAAACTTCTCATATACACCTTCAGATACCTAAGCTAATTGAACTATTTATATACATATACTAGGCATGCTGCCCAGCTTCGCTTAGGCTTTCGAAAACATTGAGAATTTGAATGCTTATTTAATTCGCCCGAAGGTCGGTCTACGACCTCAAGAGTTATGAAGAGGTTCCTCCGTGGACATTTTTTTTCGATTTATAGCTCATATAAGGTACCGGTCAGTCGAGGTCAGTTTAGACCCCCACATCGTAGACTTTTCGGCCAACCGGCCCCCGTGTTCTGTCGCACCAAGGCAAGATAATGCCAAATTTGAAGCGCCTGCGGCGCCGGGAAGTGCCCTATCGGACACCCGACAATCTAGATCTAGATCTAGATCTAGATTCCTAAAAGAATTTTTTTTTTAAGTTTAGCCCGAGCATAATAAAAAAGAGTACATTAACCAAGTTGACTTGCTGTGTCTCGAACCCGCACCACCTGCGTGGTTTAATGTACACTAACATCTCCGCTATTTAGGCACCTTATAAAATACGGAGAATGAAACACGTATTTTAAAATCTTAACTTACGCGAATATGCCTATTCTTTCAAATTAATTTTTTATCCCAAATTAGCCAGTTCCAAACAAAGATTTTGTATAAAATAAATAAGTCTTGAAATAGTTTAGTCCTAATATAGAAATTTATTTTTGGAATTGATTTTAGAAAAGTTAGAGTCTAAATCTAGATCTAAGCGTCTACGTCTAGATCTAGTTATTGCGTAGATTTAGATTTAGATTTAGTCTAGATCTAGAATCTCTAGATCTAGAATCCAAATAAATAAAATAAATTTTATGAGTTTAGGCCGGAAAAATTGTATTGTATACATTTCATAGTGTACGTAGATCTAAATCAAATTTGAATGAAATAGTTCATTTCTTTTCATTCAAAACACAGCAGATGACGTCATTAGTTAATGTATAAGCAATAGCGACGTCACAGTTTTATGCGTTCTTTTTCACATGTATTAATACTTTTCCGGTTGCATAAATAATACTGTTTCTCTACATTCGAATACGCCTTTAATTTTTATTTTTCTTCTTTAAGTAAAATTGTGGTTATACATTTAAAACATCTAACATATTATTTTCAACAAAAGTCCGTAAAAAGTTCTCCATATATCGCTGCCGATTCTGACGTGATGTCCGGCGAAAATTTTTTGCGGACAGAGAAAGAGAGAGAGAGAGAGATGTGCGAACGTGGGGATTTATATATTAGGATGTCTAAATTTATACAGTGGGGTACTTTTTTAGTACCCATAAATTGATAGAATATTCGCAACTTATTACTCGCAAGGTTATTAGAACTGAAAGGGCTTTCATAAAAATTATCAATCAAATATTATATTAAATTACTTTTGCAATTAATTTTACAATTACAATACAATACAAAACTTAATTTATAACACAATATCCATTTAAAACAATGCTATACTTTATGATTTTTGTTTTTTCTTAAAAAGAGTATACAAAATATTAAAAAATTGTTACATTAAAAAGTTACCTCCCCTGCTCATAGACCAATTGACCAAATTTCGTATAATGAGAATTTCACTCGCAGTCATTTTTAGCCCTCTTCGAGGGCTTTAATGCTGACCAACAGGTTTTCCATACGGCCCATCTATCAATAGAAGTGTATGCAAAAAATTAGCCAGTTATACAAAGAGTAAGTACCCTAAAATTTGCGTAGAAATTACCCAGTTTTCCCCATAAAATACAAAGATTATATAGGGAAATACAACTGGTCAGTTTTGACCCCTTTACGAAGTTTTCCCAGATATGCCGAGTTTTTTGTGACACCCCAAGGCGATCTCCTACCACCTCACAAAATATCAAAGGGGGTCGTCGGAGGAAATTTTTTTTCGTAATAGAGCTCATATAAAGAGAATTTCACTCGCGGTCACGTTGTAGCCCTCGTCGAGGGCTTTGAGTCAAACCGACAGTTTTCCCTAAAGGTCAAGCCATTGACCTAGGAGCATGCAAAAAATTAGCCAGATATACTGAGCTTAAGTACCCTAAAGTCTGCGTTGAAATGACCCTCTGTTTTTCCCATAAAATACAAAGATTATATAGGGAAATACAACTGGTCAGTTTTGACCCCTTTACGAAGTTTTCCCAGATATGCCGAGTTTTTTGTGACACCCCTAGGTGTTCTTCTACCACCTCACAAAATATCAAGGGGGGTCGTCGGAGGAAATTTTTTTTCGTAATAGAGCTCATATAAAGAGAATTTCACTCGCGGTCACTTTTTAGCCCTCGTCGAGGGTTTTGAGTGTAACCGACAGTTTTCCCTAAAGGTCAAGCCATTGACCTAGGAGCATGCAAAAAATTAGCCAGATATACTGAGCTTAAGTACCCTTAAGTCTGCGTTGAAATAACCCTCTGTTTTTCCCATAAAATACAAAGATTATATAGGGAAATACAACTGGTCAGTTTTGACCGCTTTACGAAGTTTTCCCAGATATGCCGAGTTTTTTGTGACACCCCTAGGTGTTCTTCTACCACCTCACAAAATATCAAGGGGGGTCGTCGGAGGAAATTTTTTTTCGTAATAGAGCTCATATAAAGAGAATTTCACTCGCGGTCACTTTTTAGCCCTCGTCGAGGGCTTTGAGTGTAACCGACAGTTTTCCCTAAAGGTCAAGCCATTGACCTAGAAGCATGCAAAAAATTAGCCAGATATACTGAGCTTAAGTACCTTAAAGTCTGCGTTGAAATGACCCTCTGTTTTTCCCATAAAATACAAAGATTATATAGGGAAATACAACTGGTCAGTTTTGACCGCTTTACGAAGTTTTCCCAGATATGCCGAGTTTTTTGTGACACCCCTAGGTGTTCTTCTACCACCTCACAAAATATCAAGGGGGGTCGTCGGAGGAAATTTTTTTTCGTAATAGAGCTCATATAAAGAGAATTTCACTCGCGGTCACTTTTTAGCCCTCGTCGAGGGTTTTGAGTGTAACCGACAGTTTTCCCTAAAGGTCAAGCCATTGACCTAGGAGCATGCAAAAAATTAGCCAGATATACTGAGCTTAAGTACCCTAAAGTCTGCGTTGAAATGACCCTCTGTTTTTCCCATAAAATACAAAGATTATATAGGGAAATACAACTGGTAAGTTTTGACCGCTTTACGAAGTTTTCCCAGATATGCCGAGTTTTTTGTGACACCCCTAGTTGTTCTTCTACCACCTCACAAAATATCAAGGGGGGTCGTCGGTGGAAATTTTTTTTCGTAATAGAGCTCATATAAAGAGAATTTCACTCGCGGTCACTTTTTAGCCCTCGTCGAGGGCTTTGAGTGTAACCGACAGTTTTCCCTAAAGGTCAAGCCATTGACCTAGGAGCATGCAAAAAATTAGCCAGATATACTGAGCTTAAGTACCCTAAAGTCTGCGTTGAAATGACCCTCTGTTTTTCCCATAAAATACAAAGATTATATAGGGAAAGACAACTGGTCAGTTTTGACCGCTTTACGAAGTTTTCCCAGATATGCCGAGTTTTTTATGACACCCCTAGGTGTTCTTCTACCACCTCACAAAATATCAAGGGGGGTCGTCGGAGGAAATTTTTTTTCGTAATAGAGCTCATATAAAGAGAATTTCACTCGCGGTCACTTTTTAGCCCTCGTCGAGGGCTTTGAGTGTAACCGACAGTTTTCCCTAAAGGTCAAGCCATTGACCTAGGAGCATGCAAAAAATTAGCCAGATATACTGAGCTTAAGTACCCTAAAGTCTGCGTTGAAATGACCCTCTGTTTTTCCCATAAAATACAAAGATTATATAGGGAAATACAACTGGTCAGTTTTGACCGCTTTACGAAGTTTTCCCAGATATGCCGAGTTTTTTGTGACACCCCTAGGTGTTCTTCTACCACCTCACAAAATATCAAGGGGGGTCGTCGGAGGAAATTTTTTTTCGTAATAGAGCTCATATAAAGAGAATTTCACTCGCGGTCACTTTTTAGCCCTCGTCGAGGGCTTTGAGTGTAACCGACAGTTTTCCCTAAAGGTCAAGCCATTGACATAGGAGCATGCAAAAAATTAGCCAGATATACTGAGCTTAAGTACCCTAAAGTCTGCGTTGAAATAACCCTCTGTTTTTCCCATAAAATACAAAGATTATATAGGGAAATACAACTGGTCAGTTTTGACCGCTTTACGAAGTTTTCCCAGATATGCCGAGTTTTTTGTGACACCCCTAGGTGTTCTTCTACCACCTCACAAAATATCAAGGGGGGTCGTCGGAGGAAATTTTTTTTCGTAATAGAGCTCATATAAAGAGAATTTCACTCGCGGTCACTTTTTAGCCCTCGTCGAGGGCTTTGAGTGTAACCGACAGTTTTCCCTAAAGGTCAAGCCATTGACCTAGAAGCATGCAAAAAATTAGCCAGATATACTGAGCTTAAGTACCTTAAAGTCTGCGTTGAAATGACCCTCTGTTTTTCCCATAAAATACAAAGATTATATAAGGAAATACAACTGGTCAGTTTTGACCGCTTTACGAAGTTTTCCCAGATATGCCGAGTTTTTTGTGACACCCCTAGGTGTTCTTCTACCACCTCACAAAATATCAAGGGGGGTCGTCGGAGGAAATTTTTTTTCGTAATAGAGCTCATATAAAGAGAATTTCACTCGCGGTCACTTTTTAGCCCTCGTCGAGGGTTTTGAGTGTAACCGACAGTTTTCCCTAAAGGTCAAGCCATTGACCTAGGAGCATGCAAAAAATTAGCCAGATATACTGAGCTTAAGTACCCTAAAGTCTGCGTTGAAATGACCCTCTGTTTTTCCCATAAAATACAAAGATTATATAGGGAAATACAACTGGTCAGTTTTGACCGCTTTACGAAGTTTTCCCAGATATGCCGAGTTTTTTGTGACACCCCTAGTTGTTCTTCTACCACCTCACAAAATATCAAGGGGGGTCGTCGGAGGAAATTTTTTTTCGTAATAGAGCTCATATAAAGAGAATTTCACTCGCGGTCACTTTTTAGCCCTCGTCGAGGGCTTTGAGTGTAACCGACAGTTTTCCCTAAAGGTCAAGCCATTGACCTAGGAGCATGCAAAAAATTAGCCAGATATACTGAGCTTAAGTACCCTAAAGTCTGCGTTGAAAAGACCCTCTGTTTTTCCCATAAAATACAAAGATTATATAGGGAAATACAACTGGTCAGTTTTGACCGCTTTACGAAGTTTTCCCAGATATGCCGAGTTTTTTGTGACACCCCTAGGTGTTCTTCTACCACCTCACAAAATATCAAGGGGGGTCGTCGGAGGAAATTTTTTTTCGTAATAGAGCTCATATAAAGAGAATTTCACTCGCGGTCACTTTTTAGCCCTCGTCGAGGGCTTTGAGTGTAACCGACAGTTTTCCCTAAAGGTCAAGCCATTGACCTAGGAGCATGCAAAAAATTAGCCAGATATACTGAGCTTAAGTACCCTAAAGTCTGCGTTGAAATGACCCTCTGTTTTTCCCATAAAATACAAAGATTATATAGGGAAATACAACTGGTCAGTTTTGACCGCTTTACGAAGTTTTCCCAGATATGCCGAGTTTTTTGTGACACCCCTAGGTGTTCTCCTACCACCTCACAAAATATCAAGGGGGGTCGTCGGAGGAAATTTTTTTTCGTAATAGAGCTCATATAAAGAGAATTTCACTCGCGGTCACTTTTTAGCCCTCGTCGAGGGCTTTGAGTAAGACCGACAGGTCTGCCCTACGGTCAAGCCATTTACCTATAAACATGCCAAAAATTAGCCAGATGTAAACAGGGTAAGTGCCCTAAAATCCGTTTTGAAATGACCCTCTGTTTTTCCCATAAAATACAAAGATTATATAGGGAAATACGACTGGTCAGTTTTGACCCATTTCCCGATTTTTCCCGGACATGGCGAGTTTTTTGTGACACCCCAAGGTGTTCTCCTACCACCTCACAAAATTTCAAGGGGGGTCGTCGGAGGAAATTTTTTTTCGTAATATAGCCCATATAAGGCGCCGGTCAGTCGAGGTCAGTTTTGACCCCTTCTCCGTAGACTTTTCGGCCAACCGTCACCGGCCTTCGTGTTCTATTGCCCGAAGGCACCATCGTGCCAAATTTGACGCGCCTGCGGCGCCGGGAAGTGCCCTATCGGGCACTTGACCACTTTGCTTTATATATATAGATATATATAAAAATATACATATATCATTTTTTGTACTGAGGGTAATGTAAGCCAAACAATAATTTGATAATTTTATCCCTCATAAATTGTGATAGTGACCTACCTGCCAATCACATGCTGTAAGATTTTGTATAGCTCCTGCTGCCGCCTCCATAGTGATAGGATTAGTACAACGTTTTAAAACAGTAGAGTATAATGTGTGAATCTCTGATCCCCAAAGAGAGCGGTATTGGACTGAAGCTGCTGGTAACTGAGGTGGGGCACTATGGAGGAGAAAGAAAGTGTCCTAAATTTTTAAATTACAGCCCAACATTTATTTTAATAGCATTGAAAAATCATTTCAAGCAACAATTTTAGTTTCAAACTCAAAGTACTTTAATTTAAAATTAAATCACAATTATTTTAATTAAAATAGGAAATCTTGAACATCACACCAAACCATTAAAGATTTTTAGAAAGAATTATAACCAAGATTTATAATACAATACAGATTTCTTTTATTAAATGATTAAATAAACAGAAGGTAAAACTCCAGGTAATAAAAAAAACTTCCCAGCTTCCCATGACAGATGTAGTTCATCTGAAAAATTTGGACGCTGGAGCACAATAATCAGTCACACTAGATCTTCCTCAGAACTCAATGTAAAAGTGTACAAGTAATAGACCAAACAAACTTGACTATTGCCACCCAAACAGAGTAAGCCTACTTTCATTGCTGAGAAATTTCCTGACAAAAAATGTGCTGAAAATACACACCTGCTTGGCTGGTTACTGGTCTTGCCCCCTTGTGCAGCTTTGGCTTTTGTAGATTTGTTTCCAAAACATCCTGCATTGCTGTCTGTCAAAGAGTTGTATGTATGCCATTATCATGTACTCCACAGAAAATATGAAACTTAGTAAAAACTAGTATCTTCCAGTAATATTTTGTTGATAACCATGGAAGAAGTGATTTTAAACTACATAGAATACTAAAGTAAGTTTACAAATTGAACTTCAACATGTATATAGTATTGTGAATGTATCTAATCAGCTATTTAAAGTCACAAAATGGTCAGTTGTGTCTGTTAGGTGGTGTATAGTTGTTGAGTATATGTTAGTGGATGAAGTCTAGGTGTACAACAAAGTCAACAAGGACTAGAGTGTGATTAACAAGTTGATCATTCATTAACTGTAATGTAGAACGTGTATAAAATGAAGTAGATATTTTAAATTATCAAAAAACGTACAAGTATCCAGTAAGTAAATATTTAGGAATTATTTTTGAGCATTACCTTTCCCAGATTTTCCTTTCCCTTGATTCTGCTGCCTGGGTAAAGTTCTGTTCTTAAAGAAATCTGGATCCACAACTTCTTGAATTCGGTAAGACAAATTGCGTAAAATGCAGACAGTGTTTTCCACCACCTTGTTATCAATGTCATTAGTGGACATATTGTCAGCTGCCATTTTTAAAATGTTTATCAATGCATTGACCAGACCTTCACACTCTCTCAATCTTTTTCTTGCATTCAATCCAGCTGAACTAACATTTCTGCAAATATAACAAGTTGATTTTACCACCAAGGTCTAAGAAACCAAAATTAAGTTTAAAAACTAATTCAAAATCCACATAAAAAAATGTGAGATGGACACACCTTAAAATTCCTGTGGTATTTCTACAAACAGTTGTCCAGGGAAGCTCATTAGGTGACGGGTTGATTGGACTTCTGCTGGAACATTTTAGGATGACTGAGTTGACCAGCACAGCCAAGCCATCATCAATTATTGATTGCTTCAGGTCCTTCCAAATTTTCAATCAGAAAAAATAATTATGCATTATTTACATATAGTCAACATGTTTTAATAAAGAAACTGGGTACAGCTACAGTTTAAAAAATACACAATTAACAGCTTTTAAAATGTTTGACATACATCACATGATGAAAGGTTCCATAACACTCCAGTAACAGATTCTTTTACATCCTCTTGGTCTGTCTTTCTCAACAATCTGATTAATTCTGGAATGCCGTTTTCATTTTTGATTGCTCTCTGTAGCAACAGGAAAATTAAAAATATATATATATAGCACTTGAGATTGTCAAGAAATACAATTTTACAGCCAGATAGTTTTAATACATTACTATTCACAACAATTCTAATGAGCCCTTTTTGAATAATTAAAAACATTACTGAGATAACTTTAGCCTGTATACAGTGTATAACAAATAACTGAGGTACTAAACAAACCTTGTTATCATTGTTGTTTTTGCCATAAGAAAGATTTTGCAAGGCACCACAAGCATTCTTATGTACTTCTACCAGGTCATGGCTCAAGAGTCGAATTAAAGGTCGGATACCTCCAATACTCCTGGGAATGTTAAAGGGGTAGTTTTAATGCCCTACTCAAAAGTGGTAAAAGAAATATAGTAATATAAACCTTTTGTTATCAAAGAATATTTTAACGCCAGTTAAGTGAATAGAAATGTTGGAGTTGGAGAGCAAAAACTTTAAGCTATTTTAAGGTTTTCATATTTTAAGCTTGTCATAAGCCTCACTAATAGTAAAAGTAATGAAATGAGAGCTGCGCATGTCTCAGAAAATTTTTGTTTCATTTATTAAATTAATCCTTAGGAAAAAAAAACTTTTCCTTTTTTGATTAAAAAGGTTTCCAACATTTTTCTAAAAGGGCAAGAGAATTTTTTTGTATTCATTTTTGGCGTGCAAATTTCTCAAGTGGAACACTGGATATCTATAAAAATATGATCTCTGATTCAAGGGTAATTACCTGGTTTTTGCTTTCATTGCATCATCCATATACACCAGATGCTGCAAATGTGCTGCAGCACTAGCTTTGGTGCTGTCATCAGGTGAACTAAGAAAGTCTATCACTTCCTGTAGATCTGGTTGGCGCATTGAGTGAGCTGGAGCATTTTACAATATTTATTAGGTTAATAATGAAAACAGATTTAGAAAAACAAACATTTTATGTTGTTTTTTTCATTTACAATGTACAGAGTTCAAAAATAATTTTCCAACAGCAATACAAACATTACTTCACTCTTACTGAACACTTTCTAATTGTATTGCTGAAACTTAGTTGCACTGTATTTTAATGTTGTTGAATATGAAAACCTTAATAAAATGATAAATGTACTTACAAAGGCCTCTGCCATCTATAGATGGTGTATGATGCCCTTCAGGAGGGGCTCCAAGAGTGAGTCGCTCCATCCGTCTAACTGTGCTTGCTTCACTTAAGTATGGATCCTCTGGTGGGTAATCTAAACATTCAGGAGTAGTTTGTTGACAAAGTTATCCATTGCTAGACATTCTATACTGAAATTATTCTAAACAAAATTTTTGGTGGAAAAATGTTTTCTGACAAATTTACATTTGAGTTTTTGTAAATCATGCTAGAGACCCTGTATGCAACAAATAAAGGGAGTTATTACCATTATATCCAAGAACATTCTGTGAATATGGATCTGGCCCATCTCTTTCATCATAAGACAAATCATGGTCATCACGTACTGGTCCTCTTACATCATATGGGACAGGTTCTGGACCTGTTAATAACATCAACTTCTTTTTAACGCTTTTAAAAATACCTTAAATAAATTATTTACAATTAAATTAATTACATGTAACTATTGTAATGTTCTACATCAAACAAATGATCGTGTTAACTTAAAAAAACACAAGCATTACAAGAGTGATAAAACTAATTTAATTATAATATAAGGAGTAGCAATCGGAAATAAGTTGATCAATTATTTTAATTTTCAAAAATATTTAATAAAAAATGTTTGTACAGAATGTTAGATCAAACTATATTTTTGTCTGTTAGATTTGTATTTAACTATAGTAAATAACCATAATAAATTTTAGTAGGCACATAATAACAGCAAACTGTTTTTAACGCATATCTATAATAAACAAATATAATACATTATATATCACGCAGTACCATAGTTAGTCAAAACTTATAATTTTATAAGTTCAGGTCACTATTAAAACAACACAAAAGCAGTTAATTATTTAGCTTAATGTGAAACAGTCAAGTGACTTCTCGATTCCAACCTTACACATAAAAGTTTATGTAAGAAATTATTTTATTCATCTGAGACACAAAAATAATCAAAATTGATCACTGATCCATGCAATTCTTTTCAGATGGTAAATAATCATTTGAGTTGATTATTAATGAAGTTTAAAAATTTCTTAGACTACACAGTAGTTAGTTGTTCACTGAGGCATGTCACAGGCAATGAGTAACACTTACATATCCTTGTGTTATTCATCCAACATGCTGAGTTAGCAGACACCTAGAAGAGAAAAGACAACATATTACCGTAAAAATATGAACAGTAAAGATCACTACCTCCAGCTGGGGATTGACCACGATAGTATGGGTCTTCCTGAAGAATATGTTTTGCTTCTCTGCTGTTCTGTTCTTGGAATGGATCATCAGCAAAAGGATGCTGTCTTACTAAAGGTAATCCATCATATCTGCGCTGTTGATCATTCTCATCATCATAACCATTCCCTGGTGGTTCAAAGTTTTGCTGATGCTCTTGAGAGGCATCTGAGTATCTATCATGCTCTAGATACTGACTGTGATGTTGTGGAGGAGGGTGCACATCATATGGCTCTTGAAATGAATCATGTCTTAGGTCATGAAAAGATGTATTTTGGTGATGTGGATGGCTGGGGGGTGGCTGAAATGAGTCCAAGTAAGGCTCATCGTGAGAATTTCTTGATCTATTGTGGATATCTCTATAGTCTTCTGGTCTCGGAGGCTCAAGATCATCATGGTAGCCCTGTGGATCATCATGGTAGCCCTGTGGATCATCGTGGTAGCCCTGAGGATCATCATCATAGCCTCCCCTTTGATCAATGTAGTCAGGTCCTTGCCCACCATAGGAATCCTCAGGATAGTGAACTCCACCATTGTACCTGGGTGGTTCCTCCTGGTAATGGTCTCTAGGATCCCCATATGGATCATTGTAGTTACCACTTAAGTGAGGATCCACCCCAGATGTTCCATGAAAACTGCTATGACTGCCTTGATAGGAGATATCTCTAAAATAAATTTAAATACAAATATTAGATCCCATATTCATTACTTGAAAAATGAAATGAATTTCATGTTGTTGTCAGCAATTGATCTGTTAGTGGGAATTTTTCTGATGTATTTTTTTTCAAAAACAATTGAAAATACATGTTCACATTAATAAAAAATTTGTTTGCATAAAATTTAGTCTATTAGTATAATATTTTCTAATATTTCAAGATAAAATGAAAATAAATATTGATATATATTGTCTTGTTTAGACTGGGTTATTAAGAATACATACTCATTCATAAGCAATATTTATCAGAAATATGAGCATAAAAATTGGAGGTCGTTGCTATGAAAGAGCAAATTAAAATCTTAGGTAGGTGGTTAGCCAAGTTGAATTAGCTATAAATTGCTACTGAATGGTTGAACATCTAACTTTTTAAACTATTTTTAATACACATTAGTTTTTAGCTGTCTAGAGAAGTAAAAAAAAATGTCATAGCTATCAAATGTAATGTTTTATGCATGCCCAACTTATACAACAAAAATCACAGTAGTTAAATTTAAAAGGGAGATAATAATTAAACATCAAACAATTTTTTTCCCTGTAGTTTATAACTGTTATTTAAAAGTTATTTAAAGATATTATTTAAAGTTATATTAGAAAAAAAACATTCTAGCTAACTACAGAAAAAACTAGCAAGTTCATTACTAATTTAGTTAAAAGATTTAGAAATAAGGGGTTCTTTAAAATTCTAAGGAAGCATTGTTAAATAAAAATATTTGATTACAAGTTTTAGTTAGGAAAATTACAAGTGAAAAAGATCATAAAAATTAATATCATTGAATGGTAGATTTTTTTTTACTCCATTAATGCATTACTTGTTAGTGTAAAAAAAATAATTCAAAATATGAACGTTGACTAGGGATGACATGCAACTTCACAGATAAATAGCACATATACAAAGGTAGATCATTGACTCCAACATTAGAAGTAGCTTTTATACTAATTTGTAACATAGGTACACTTTTTGAATAGTTTAAAATTAATACTGTTTTCATAAGCAGAATATAGATACATTTTGTATATAAAAGGTTCAAGGGAGGTGGAATAAAATTTTTAAAAATAAATATTAGTTAACTATTCCAGAAGGTAATGTGTTATCTAGCAAGCTCAAGGAGGGTGAAATGAATTTCTATTTCATAAAACTTTAGTTCATTCATGTCAAATTATAATTGATTCATTTTGAGAATAGTAAAGTGCCAATATGGTATTTAACTTCAATAAATTATTAAAATTCAGATCATCTAAACCTCCTTTTAATCTGGCCACTATCTACCTTTGCCCAAAGCCAGCATGCAATTCCTCATCATCAAAATGGTGGGAGGGATGTGATGGGACATGATCATATGAGCGAGGGTTTTCTTCAACATAACCTGGATTAACTACAGATGGTGTGTCCCCATCATCATAGTAATCATATGATAAGTAATTGTGTGGTGCCTCCCGCTCATAATCTCTTCCCTCCACATCGCCACTACCATGATGGGCATAATCGTTGGGATCTAAAGACCTGGCAGGTAGTGGGGAAGCTCTCAGCTGCTGGTCAGATCTGTAAATGTTGTTACTGCTTCCATAAGGGCCACCATTGGGTATTTCTGCATAATTCTTCACCTGGAAATTGGACGTGAACAACTTGGTAAAAAAATTTTTAAAAATAAATGTGTTGATTTTGAGAGATACAAAATGTAATTTATTGAAAGTTCAAGCCTAATGTAAACCTAGTTACAAAATTAATTACATTTTCAAATGTATTGGTTCAGTGAATTACATGTTTAACCTTTGTCATTCATCAAAGAAAATAAACAGTTGCTGCATTGGAAAACTGGAACAATAACATTGATCCAAATAAAATGTGTAGGCAGGATCAAGAAGAAAAAAAAAGGAATTATAACAGGACAGATGACAACATACCATTCTGTTTCTGTCACTATGGATTGAATGCTCACTCATTCTCTCAAATGATGTGTTGTTACCATAGTTTCCTTCATATCCACCCCCACCACCACTTCCACCACTGTAATAAGGGTCATGTGGAGCAAATCTGTGAGAGGAGTATGGGTCTTCTTGCATGTAATCCATATTCCCTGGGTCACTGCGGATAAAAGCCAAATAATCACTCTATTAAGACTGAGTCTTCTTGCATGTAAAAATTATTATTTGCAAGCAAATAAATGCAGTTTAATACAAATGATGATAAAGAAAATGTACTATGTGTGAAATGACCATAAACACCAATATTATAGTCAGCTTCACAGCAGTAATTTCATCTGTTGAACAGATTTTGGTTTAGATAATTGTGATGACGCTAATTCAAGATAGTATGGTAGAACAGACTATAGCTAGTTGGTTAGACTGACCAATAAAAACACAGGAGCTGGCCGGTCACGTGGGACGGTCAGTTGACCACTGAAGCGTGGGTCAGAGTTAGTAGTGTGAAAGAGACGGTCAGAGATATGTAGAGCAAGGGAACAGTATAGATTAGTTGGGTAGGAAGTTGATTGTGTGAATTTTAATTGAGGATATTATCTATTGGATAGGACTTGTGTTTGTTAATTCCAAACTATAACCAGGCTAGTATCATCTTAATCACCACTGCCCTCAGATTTGGTGGTGCTGCATTTCCCCACCCTCACAACTGGTGGAAGATCTCCATTCACCCCCACCCTCACAGTAATGTTTGAGGTGCCCTCAACTAAATGAATGAAAACACCACTAGTCTTGTATTAATGGACAATTTGTTCAATGCCAGAAAAATGTGGGACCTCATGGTATTAAATTTAAATTAAGATATACAAATACTTCTTGGAAGTTTATTCATTGAAATTGGTACAGCCAGCTCAACTGTGAGATCTAAGAAGTTTCTAGACATTTTTTTTTAAATAAATTGTGCCAATTAAAGACAAATTATTGTTTTAGATTGGTACAGCCTTTAATTCCATAATTAGGACTAAATATGTTGTCAATCTTATTCTTAGGGAACTGCAATAGGCCTTATTAAATATTATTAGCCTACCTTGTTTTACTTTAGTAATGCTAACACTAACATTAAACAAGGTAACCTTCTCTAATTCATTAAGTATAACTATAATCATAAAAATTGTAATGCAATGCATATTGATTGCATGGTTCCTGGTGATTACATTGGTATAATATAGTTATAGTATAATGGTAATTTGGTAGGCCTAGTCTAGACTGCCAGTCTTGTTCTGGATTCAAAGGCCAAAAGCCGCCAAAGTGTCGATTAAAAAAAAAAATTTAATATGGGCCTAACAAACAGTAACTAAGTCATTTTCATTTAGCATTTGGCCTAGATCTATATTTTTCTATATTTAGATTCTATATCATATAGATCTAAATACTATTTAGATTTTTTAATTTATCTTGATTCTCGTTCTGGATCTAGAAATCTAAGTGGATTTTCTTAATGCAATTTAAATTTTAAATTCAACTCGTCGAAGTAGTTGCACCGCGGAAGTGCCTTCACCATAATAAAAATTCAACGATCAATGATGCAGTGACCTGGTTAGGGCACTGCCGAATTAAAAGCATGCCATGAGCTACCAACGCCTAAAAACTAGAATAAACTCCTTACAAAATATTTAATCGGCTGTAAAATTTCCCACAGCAGTCCTAACAAGTAATCCGAATAGAACATGTTCCACCATATTATCCTAAAGAAAAAAACAGCACTTCCTCACTGCACCCACACAGCCGCGACGTTTGTCAATAACGCACCGTTATGGAACGCATGGGACAATACGCCTAAATATAGGCCGCGTCCTCGCTGTTTTGATTGGCTAGGATTTGGCTTCCCTTGTTGTCCTGCGGGTTGATCAACAGTGGAATGCCGTTAGCGCTTGCTAGCGACTTGGGAAAAAAATTAGTTGAAAATCGCAAGAAAATATATTCGATAGGAGTTTAGCGGAAAAGTTATGCTTGCAAATTTCCTTAATTTCTAGACTTTGATCAAAAGAGTGTACAAACTAGGCCAAAAGATTTTCGAAAAATTGTGTGTAAGGTGTCCTCCATAAACAACGTCACACTCGTAGGGGGAGAGGGGAGTGTATCTTTGTGGAGATGTGTGATGAGGAGGGGGGGGGGGGGGGGGTGAAGGAGTTCAGACGGTGTTAAAGTAATGTTAAAAACTGAATTTAAGCCGTTATTTCGCATCTTCAATAACTGTTTTTGTAAATTGTAGGCCTAATAGAATACCGCAGTAATCAATAAATAAAGTTTTAAGACGCGCTAGTGGGGTGTCGTTATGAAAATATTTGATCCGACAAAGTACATGAAGTGGGCATCTATGCTTCCTTGTTTTATAACCCTTTTTTTAAGATATCAAACAATAACCATAAACATAACATTCGACTCCCCTGCACAAATCAAACAATGGAGACACCAGCAAAAGAAAATGGTTGCCAAATCAAGAGAGCAAATCGCTGTGATATATCAACGTAATTGAGTTTCTGTGAAGTGAACTAAGGGTCCAGGTGTAATTTGGGGAGGGGAGAGCAATGCCACCGTAAGCTTATTAAATGTTTTTAAAAAGCTTATATTTTGAAACCCGGCCAATAAAAAAAATGTAGAGTAATGGAGAAAGTCAAAGCAAATATTTCTATACGTCAGAGAAATGTATATTTAAAATACCCTGAAATACAAACATGTGTAACTGTTGTGGAATTAGTAATCTGGAACCTCAATATTCAAAATGCTGTAGCTATCACTCACTAAAAAAAAAAAAAAGATGTTTTCTCTAGGGAACAAAACCCTCACTACTGTAGGCCTACTATAGTGGTTATCTCCCATTTAGCTGATTATTTTCTCCACCAGGTTTCACGAACATAATTCTTAACTTTGCGGCCGGCAACCTCTGAATGAATAAATAATACACACGCCTCTTTTAGATATTAAACATTCAATTAACGGTCTTACAGGTCGATAATTCTATTTCAACTGGGAAAACCTTAAGTATATCATAATCTCTTGTTTTTTCTATAGATGGGCATTAGGTTTTAAATGTTGAGTGTATTATTAAGTATCACCAAATTATCTCCAGCTGAGAGACCCATATCATCCTATAGTTTAAAGACTAAATATAGACTGGTGCTTGACTCAATAATGTACAAGACTTGGGTCTGATCTGCTGCTACAACATCTATTTAGAACTACCAACAAACTGATACTAAACCACATGTTTGAGCTCTCTAACAAAACAGTGTCAGTAAAGCTGGATGCCTTCTATTCCCCACACAGATTCCATATTAAGGGCCAACATCCCACCCTGCCAGCTTTCTGTTTAAATACAACAATGGTTGATTTTACATGCAGTTACTTTCTGGCATCTCTTGGGGGGGGGGTGTCTACACACCAACTATTCCCCCCTCCCTCCCCTGGAAAATATTTATAACTTTTATTTTTATAGAGAATATATACTTTACCAAGTGTCCGCCCCTCACCCACCCTGAGAAAAATGTCATGTCTGAAAGAAACCCTGTTGACATGTAAACTTGTAACAAATATTAAGATGCTAGCTGTGACAACCAAAACTTGTCACAAATATTAAGATGCTAGCTGTGACAAGCAAAACTTGTCACAAATATTAAGATGCTAGCTGTGACAAGCAAAACTTGTCCAACAGGAAGGGCCAGGAGAAGTAGAACTGTTGTGAGATTTGTAAACATTTTCTAACTACATTGTCTGTACATCTTTACAATCACAAGCTAAATAATAACAGATAGGGTGGTAAAACACACAAGAATTAAAGTAAACATGACAGCGCAACAACTGAGCTGAAACACTAAGAAGTGTTTATTAATTATTCAAAATTAGGTCCTTCTTCTCCATATGAACACCTTTCAAACTGAGCTGTCTAGTTAATTTAAAAATGCCATTACTCACATATCCTGATGATGTGAGGTGGGATAGAATCTGGCATGAGTGCCACTATCCAACTGAGATTGTAAGGGAGGGAGGGACACTGGAGACTGGTCATGGAAGTGAAATGAGTCTTCAGTGTTTGTTATGCTGCTCATGCTCATGGTAGCCTATCATTCATCTGAGAACAAGCACCACACAAGCAATTAACTAGACAAATTCTTCATGGGATGCTACAGCCATAAAAGGCTCAATAGTCAAAAAGAAGAAAAAATTCTTAAAATAAACACTTCTTAAAACTAACCCTAGCAACTATAGCTGTGTCTACCAAGCTTCTAAAGTAACACCACAAAAAGCCTGTTTGTGCTTAATTGAAGTAAACCACTAAACATGTGTATTTAAGACTGAAATAGTTTCACTTACTACAACTTGGAGAACCAAACCACTAATCCTAGTCTAGTGCCATAAAGACTAAAGACTTTTCATTCAATACTCTATACCAGGGGTCTCCAAACTTTTCAGTCCGAGGGCCGCATTACCCATCAAATTTCAGTTCGGGGGCCAGTTACTTCCAGGCATGTCTTTAATTTTTCAGGGCAAAGTTCCTCAGCCATCACAAACAGACGATTTTTCCTTAGACAAAAAGATCTCCGCGGGCCGGATGAGAGAATTTCGCGGGCCGCATCCGGCCCGCGGGCCGTAGTTTGGAGACCCCTGCTCTATACCTAGGTGTCAGCATTAAATCAAATTAAGTTCAAATACTAAATCTAGCTTGACAATTGTACAATGGAAGTCGAAAAGTTCAAGTCGTGTGTTTAGAGGGGTCATAAAAAAATTATTTTGAAAAAAAATCTGACTCCTGAGTGTGGTGGGGGGGAGTAGATGAAGTATACAAGGGGATAAGAAAATATAATTGTTCTCTCCGAACTAATAAATAAATTAAATGTGTTGGGCGTGTATCTTGTAATGCTAATAGCTTAGAGTCAGTTTTTCTTTTCTATTTTATCTGGTATTTTATTAATTGAATATTAAAAATAGAATGTATTGAGAAAAATAAAATGTTTGAAAATTTAATTATAAATATATATATATGATGAGTGCTTGTTATAAACTTATATAATTGTAGTTTTAATGTTTTGTTTTTGTTAACATCAACCAAATACCACAGCAGGGTATTAATTTAAAATCATTTTATAATTTAATGTATTGGTATGGAAAGAAAAGTTTTTAAAATATTACTTCTGCAGTGTCTTATCATTATAATTAGCTTTATGGCTATAGTGAGCTAGTAGCCCATACTGTCATTACTCATATTACCAAGTATATCAAGTAGCTTATACATTTTATAAATATAGGTTTTATGTGTGCTGCCAATTAAATAAATACATATTGTGTATAATTGTGTAAAATTCTTTGTTTTTCTTTTTATTAAACTGACCATGTTTTAGGAATTCCCATTATAAAATTTTAATGTGTGGATGTCCAAATGGACATGAACAACACCTTCCCCACCCCCTCAAGTTGACAGACATCTATAAAATTCTCATTTAAGTTGTATTCAAGTGGTTCTATTGTCACAGATTTTAAAATGTGTGTGAGGGGGAGTACTATCAGCATTTTAGTTGCTATAAATAAGGTTAGCCGACAATACATTATTTTAATAATAAAAGCTGCTGCTGATAATTTAGTACTTGTGTATTGGTGAAAAGAACCAAAGACAACTTTTAATAAAGTGCATTTAATAATTTATCAAACTTCAAACAGAAGAAGTGATTAGCCCTATTTCAGAGACTAGTATGTAGGCCTATGAAAAATGCATACTAACATCTAAACAATAGAAAATCTAAATTTTAAGAGCGAGTTACGTTACCTAAGAATAAATCTAAAGGTTATTTATCCTACTTGTGGTCGATTGGTTGAGTGTTTGGCTGCTTGCACTGAAGAACTCAAGTTCTGATCTCAGTTTGGATTTGTGACTGTACTTGTGATAGGTACTTGACATAGAATTTATGTTGGGGAAAGTAAAGGTGGCTGGGCAAAGTGGTGACCACACTGTCCCTTCATATACCAGTTAAGAAACATGAACTCTTCTTCATATGCGCACCAATGATGGGTTGCTAAGCTCAAGATGAGCTGTACTGTGCGACCCTATAAAATAAGTAGAATCTAGTCGCCTAAAGCTTAAGGTAAGACAGATTCTAGATCAAGATCTACAGATCTAGAAATCTATAGTTAAGAGTTAGTATGTATGTAATATGTAATCATGTGTTAGTATAATCAATAATCACTAGATTCTAGATCTAGATACCTAGTTTTTTAGTATTAAATATTAAATAATCATTTAGATCTAGATTCTAGATCTAGAATCTAGCCATGATTTATCATTTAGGCCTACAATGATTCTAATGATTAGAATTAGATGTATTCTAATGCTAGGACCTACACTTCAAATACAATAGGTTACTTGCCAAACAATCTATAAAGAAAAAGAGAGAAACAGAACTTAAAAACGGGAACACACTTACTACACAGAGCACAGCTATTTTCGTCAATCGGAACAGGACTTGTTGCCTCTCCCAACTATCCCAATGCAGTGGGATATGTTCCTAATTATTTCTAGACCTACAATACAATTGTACTGAAACAAATTTATGCTAATTAAAACCTTTAATTAGATCTAGTAACTAATGTAAATGTGTAACAAATATTTGAAACGCATATTAAACTGTATACAGATCTTTAAATATTTCTGAAATATATCAACTATTCACAACAATACAACTCGAGTCAGGAAATGCAACATTTTCAATAACAAGAGGGAGTAAAACGAGAAGAGCTAGGAATGCAGCGCCATCTAGCTTCAGCAAAACTGATTTGGTATGATTTCTGATAGTGTTTATTGTAGTGCTAGGCCCTAAGCCTAGTCTTTCTTACTTACTACCGAGACGGGTCTACTATGCTTGCAATATTAATCCTGCTATAGAAAATAATGAATATTCTAACAATTAAAAAATCTGACTACTTTTCAAATAATCAAAACTACACAAACGCAAATCTAAATCTATATTAGATTTCTGTTGAACTGTGATAACTAGACTAAACAAAACAGAGCAGTGGCGTAGCCAGGATCGTCTCAAGGGGGGGGGGGGGGGGTTCCAATTTTTACCCGGGACAAACTTTCGTTTTCGATTTGCACCCCCCCCCCCCTCAAACTTTCGATTTGCACCCCCCCCCCTCAAACTTTCGATTTGCACCCCTCCCTCAAACTTTCGATTTGCACCCCCCCCCCTCAAACTTTCGATTTGCACCCCCCCTCATACTTTTTCTATATACCGAGGGGTCTATGGGGGGGGGGGGGTTATGACCGCCCCTAACCCCCCCCCTGCCTACGCCACTGAAACAGAGGCCTAAACTAAAATGCAATGATAGCGCTGGTTTTATTATTCCTGCTTTCTAAAAAAATTATATCTATAAACATGAGTCTGAAATAAAATAGATTCTATATTGTGTTCGTGGTGATGGTGGAAGCCGCACGGTGATTTTTTAGGCATCTCTCGGAGCAGGGCCGGCGCTACCTATAAGGCGAACTAGGCGGTTGCCTAGAGCGCTATCCATAGAGGGGCGCAAAAATGTGTGATCTCGATTAGTAAAAAGTACATAATAATTAATATTTTGTATTACATTATATAAACTTTAGACAGGGTAATATACAAAGGCGTAGCGATCTATTTAGGTGCCCAGGACGAACTATCAATTTTGCGCTCCATCTTTAAATTAGGCCTATATAGCTATTCGCGTTGGGGAAAATGCGCCCCAACCTCCCTCACTAAGAAAGGTCGGGGCGCTTTTTAACAGTCACTTTGCCTTTTTATTTTGGCGTCACACAATTAATATAGAAAACAATTAAATAAGCTCGTAATGCCAAGTAGCAGTTAAAATTCTTCATTTCGACTGTGTATAATTCACTAACCCTAACCCAAAGCCCCCTTTGGGGCTGCGCCTGTGCAATTTCGATTTTTAAATAGGGCTAAGTCTTGTTTTCGCTAACTTAAAATTTTAATTAGAAATCTCGTTAGCCAGGGCGATATTTAGATTTTCAAAGTAAATTAATAGTTGGCACCACAAGATCCTAAACAGAATTTTAAAACAATAGTCTAATATTTTAAAACACACGCACACACACACACACATTCACACACACACACACACACACATATATATATATATATATATATATATATATATATATATATATATATATATATATATATATATATATATATATATATATATAATATGGGGGTTCGAAAAGATGTGCTGGGGGGGGGCGTTTTCATAAGTTTTGCCTAGGGCGCTAAATAACCTGGCGCCGGCACTGTCTCGGAGCATCACCCCCCCCCCCCCCTTCCCCCGAACGAATAAAAAAAAACGACAACGTATACTTTTACTAAATAGATCTAGATCTATATAGCCTACTTTAACCATGTCTGCCCCCCCTCCTCGAAGTTTCAATTAGGTGTCTCCCTACCGAAGATTCAAGTGCCGCCGCCCCTCCCCCACCTGTCCTTAATGACGCTGCTGATGTCGCTTTACAAAAACAGAAAAAGATGTCAAGATGTGTAACTATGGAGGGGGTTGTAAAATTGTTTAATAAGACGTGGAGTCTTTTATTGATGACCCCTTACGACTAGGAGTATTTTCAACAACTTCCCTAAGTTTCATGGTAATAGAATGAAGGATGTAGTACTGCATAAAGGACAGACAAACAAACAGACATACACATAGCGTACCCTCCGGTGCGTTGTTGTAGGATATTTTGAGAGGATTCCATCGTTACCAATCATGTATTTTAAGATTTTTGCCATTGTTTTCTTAATTAAACTGAGTTATTTAAATGTAAATACAGTGCTATACAGTGTATCTTTCAGGAATATCTTTGTCTCCCCCAAACCCTGAATCATGTCTACCACCCCACCCCCCCCCCCACCCCCAATGTTTAACTAGTGTCCACCCTCCCGAAAATTTAGAGACAGTGGCCCTTCATCTCCACCTAGCTCTGATGTGCTATTGCTTGAGACAGTGACCCTTCCTGTCCTACTAGCTCTGAAGGTCTTTGGCTCAAGATAGACATCCTCCAATGTCGTAAAAAGACAATTTTATACAAATGCAACAGTACTGAATGATGAGGCAGGATCTGAATGTACAATCAGAGAGTAAAGCTGTAATCATTGCTGTAATAATATTTGCATGGATACAATGAGGTTAATTCATAATGGAAGTTTAGTGACCGGAAGTTTATTTTTCCGTGGGTTATCAAAGCTTGCATGTGAGGTATCAGACAGCGAGATCTCGTTCTTCTGTGTGTCTCAGACAGCGAGATCTCGTTCTTCTGTGTGTCCTAATCTGCATGCCCTTCTCCAACATCACATTTGATAAATATTGTGATCGACAAAAACGACAACCCCTACTTTCAAAAGGGGGGAGGGGGAGTGGGGAGGGGGTCTTAATGTTTTATGAACGAGCCCCAGTAAACGGAGCATTGAACGTGTAAAGGGGAGTAATTGTCCACTACATCTCCCTGACAAGACACGAAATGGGCCGATCGATGGCCCCAGATAAAAAAAAAATTAAAATAAGTTTTCAAGCACTGTACCTTTTTGTGCCAATAAATGCTCCATAATTATATGTACCTTTACGTGCTGTTAAATGCACCATAATTTTTTATGGATTTCGAAAAAATAAGTTAACGTAAATACATTTAGTGTGATGAGCCAGAAAGGAAGTTGTTATGTTAAAATTTACCCACACGATGAGTAGAACTAACCAGCATCACACCATGAAATTCTTTAGCTCACAAAATGACATCACCTTAGGTGATCTTTTAGTTCACAAATGGCATCACATCTTGAGATCTTTTAGCTCATGTGCCACAAGATGACATCACCTCATGTGATCTTTTAGCTCATGTGTCACAAGATGACATCACCTTATGTGATCTTTTAGCTCATGTGTCACAAGATGGCATGACCTCATGTGATCCGTTAACTTAAAAAAGGCATCACCTCATGTGATCTTTTAGCTCATGTGCTCTGAGCTAAAGAATGGCATAACTCAATGCCATTCTTTAGCTCAGATTCTACAAAATAATATTTCACGAATAAACTGGCACATGTCCCAAACATTACATCACAAGAACAAAAATCTAGTAGTAGTAGTTATCAATAAACCAGGCAGGCTCGTTGGATGTATAAAATTTCAATCCTTTTCAAATTCCTGCTTTACAAAACGAAATAAATCGCAATCCCTTCGTGAGTGTTTGTTTCGTTTTATAGATCCCATATTTTGTCATTTCTCCCCAGAAGATCTATTTACCCACACTGCATGCGACCAAAAATTGATTGAAACTTTTAAAAAAATCTACTAGTTGGCCATGAGGGAGGAAACACATCAGAAGATTTAGAGTTCAAATAAATGATCCAAATTCGGAGGGGTGGTCAAAATTTGATTCAAATGTTAACAGACTCGCGTTTTGGTGAATACTGAACCATATTCTGACGAGCATTCAGTGGCAAATTGTGTTTTTCTACACACAACAATTGTTAGTTCTGAGTATTTTCTCCTTACAAATTTTCATTGTATTCCAAACTAAACAACTCATGGCACTAGAACATTTCCATACGCCCCTGTGTCCCTCCCCCCACCCCTCCCTCACGCCAACTCATGTTGCACACAAAAAAAAACAGGGGTACATTGACATTCGGTTATAATTTTATTGTCATTAGTACAAGATACGTTATTAAAAAATATGAAACGTGCAATTCTTATAATGTTTAAAATTTTATCATTCTGGCTAATGATTCTTGTGTTCAGGTTCTTAAAATAAGATTTTAATTAATTAAGAAGATAATGAATTACCTAGTGATTTAAATATTTGATCAATGTCTCCCCATCAAGTCAATTAAGAACAGTATATTTCAATTGTAATGATTCACGTTTTGACCGAACATTTTAAAAACAGAATTGAAAAGGTCTAAGACTAAATAACTGTGGCTGCTCTATGTGGCATGAGAGGTAGCCACGCCTTCTGTTTACGTCGCAACTCCGCCTTGAGAGCCTGGTATTCCTCCGCCGTGTACTGTTTGTGTTTTTTCTGTGAAAGACAAAATGGTAAAGTTACTGTTTGTGTTTTTTCTGTGATAAAGACAAAATGGTAAAGTTACTGTTTGTGTTTTTTTCTGTGAAAGACAAAATGGTTAAGTTACTGTTTGTGTTTTTTCTGTGAAAGATAAAATGGTAAAGTTACGGTTTGCGTTTTTTCTGTGATAAAGACAAAATGGTAAAGTTACTGTTTGTGTTTTTTCTGTGAAAGACAAAATGGTTAAGTTACTGTTTGTGTTTTTTTCTGTGAAAGACAAAATGGTAAAGTTACGGTTTGCGTTTTTTCTGTGAAAGACAAAATGGTAAAGTTACTGTTTGTGTTTTTTCTGTGAAAGACAAAATGGTTAAGTTACTGTTTGTGTTTTTTCTATGAAAGACAAAATGGTAAAGTTACTGTTTGTGTTTTTTTCTGTGATAAAGATAAAATGGTAAAGTTGCTGTTTGTGTTTTTTTCTGTGATAAAGACAAAATGGTAAAGTTACGGTTTGCGTTTTTTTCTGTGAAAGACAAAATGGTAAAGTTACTGTTTGTGTTTTTTTCTGTGAAAGACAAAATGGTAAAGTTACTGTTTGTGTTTTTTCTGTGATAGAGACAAAATGGTAAAGTTACTGTTTGTGTTTTTTTCTGTGAAAGATAAAATGGTAAAGTTACTGTTTGTGTTTTTTTCTGTGAAAGATAAAATGGTAAAGTTACTGTTTGTGTTTTTTCTGTGAAAGACAAAATGGTAAAGTTACTGTTTGTGTTTTATCTGTGATAAAGTTAAAATGATAAAGTGTGCATTATCGCTTTATCTGAAATGTGTTTTTTTCCCCAAACCAGACCTTATGTAACAACTAAACCTTGCTGCCCGGGTGTCCCGATTTAAGACAAAAAAATAATAACTTGGCGGGAGTTCGGACTACATAAAAAAAAAAGAACAACTTTTTTTAAACTAAAAATTTAGAAGTTATTTTTGCATTTCTTTAAAAATTTAAACGAAAATTACAAAAAAAAAAAATAATCAGATCAATGTTGACCCAGCTCAATAAATAATTGAGACAAAAAATGCTGTCACGATTAGATCTTGGGGTTCAAAATATCGGGTTGAAATAATACGTTTTGAGAATATCTCTAGTTAAAACCACTTGTAGGCCACGTCGTCATTTATTTTTTTTTTTAAATGTTTTTAGCAGTTTCAAATGAGACGTTTAGGCCTGTTCTATCCCAGGCTTAACGGGGCAGTGGCTGTGTTTCAGGGCGATGATTAGCACCATTTGAAATGTACACACGCAAAATGCCGCAAGATATTTTTTCTTATCCCGGAGATGATGGACTGGCACAAACTTTAAATTTTGTTCTGGCAAAGTTCCAGTAGTCTGCACCAACGTGAACTATTCTAGACCATTAAAATCACGCCCAACAGCAATCATTTGATTTGATGATTGTTGTTAAAACATAGCTTGTAAAACTAGCTAGCCGAATGTACACTCACAGCTTAAGTTGCTGGTGGTGGTTTTTTTTGTATTTTTGTTTAAAGCCCGCATCACATTATCTCCGTCACAAAACTTAGACACTCCCCCCTGCTGAACCCATGTAGTGACCTGTTTAAACCCTACTGAACCCTTGTACTGACCTGTTTAAACCCTGCCGAACCCTTGTACTGACCTGTTTAAACCCTGCCGAACCCTTGTACTGACCTGTTTAAACCCTGCCGAACCCTTGTACTGATCTGTTTAAACCCTGCCGAACCCATGTAGTGACCTGTTTAAACCCTGCCGAACCCTTGTACTGACCTGTTTAACCCTGCCGAACCCTTGTACTGACCTGTTTAAACCCTGCCGAACCCTTATACTGACCTGTTTAAACCCTGCCGAACCCGAGTGCTCACTGCGTGGCCCTTTAACTTGCTGTAAACCCAGAGATGTGCTCGGCCGATCTGATATTGACGGGGAAAAAAAACAACACAAAAATGGAATCAAATGTGAACATAGCAACTTTTTTGAAAAAAATGAAACCAAATGTGAACATAGCACATTTTTTTAAAAATGGAACCAAATGTGAACATAGCAAATTTCTTTTTAATGCTCTCTTGTTCAACCCTACACATTTTCTTTAAATCAAAACTCTCACAACTGTTTTTTTTATTAAAATATTTTCATAAATTTTTTATCGCATAACAATATTTTACACATTTTCCCCTACACGTCCAGTCATTTATTTTATTTTTTTTATTTTGAAAGCCTTTCTACAGCAGCTGGTAGATCCCCTCAACTCTGCAGCCAGTACAACTGTTCTAGCTACATCTAGACAGGCAAAACGTGTGGTCTGTCTACATAGGATCATAAAGAAGGGGGGGGGGGCACTCAGTATGCCTATAAGACATAGTGAATGGGGATCTTTTGTGTAACATTTGGATTGGGTGGGGTGTTGGGGGGGGGGGGGGGGGAAGAGAAGACTAAAAAGGTAGTAAATTCAAACTTACTGAACCATTTTGCTGATATTTTAAAAATCAAAATTGATTATTAGTTAAATATATAACATTAATGTAAAGCGAATCTGTTTTTTAAAAGCCTGATTTCAAATGTTAGACAAATGCTACAACACAAAAACAAGCTTAAATGATTGTTAACAGATGTCAACATTTTAAAAGTAGAATGTTATCTCTGGCAACTGTGCTGATCTCTCATCTGGTTGTATCAATTATGGGAGCACTGATTATACTGCTAATTTATTATAATTATAACATTATAAATAGAAAGTATTACATTTATAAAGTATTAGCAATCAAAGAACTGAAAAATAATATTAGATTAAGTTAATGTATAATGTGTAACATGCCTTAAAATAAAAAAAAAAGTTTTACAGCAAACACGATGAAAAATAAATTTGAAGCTAGGCTAAAATTTCTAAATATTACAACAAAAAATAATTCAAAAAAGTAATAAAAATCAATAAAAACATCTAAACTAAAAGTTATGATAGGCTGATATATATATTGGAATAAAATAAAATAGGTCAGTTTTTAAAAAGGATATTTGTTTACCAACTAAAAAAGTAAAATAAAAAACACGAAGGAAATGTTTGATTAGAAACATCAGACCTGCGTGATCAGATAAGTCATCAATAGGTCTATCATTTACATTTTCTACGACTCGCAAGCTGTTGAGGAAATAAAATAATAATCCATGCAATACATTGATCATTAGTGATTGAACACAATACTGATTTGAGAGATTAGTCATTTGACAAATTATTGATTTGACACATTTCTGTAAACTACCAACTTACCATACAATCCATGAAGCATTTGAGTTAGTCCCAGTAATTTGGCGAGACCGTTAAAAAACTATGCACTTTTTAAGAAGAGACATCCATGTTTACACAAGTTTAAAATAATCATTAGCAGTGGAAGGTGAAAAGTTTTTTAGAAAGACAGACTTGACATTTGTTTTTCTATTTTTGTCTCCCGATCTAACACATAGTCCCTTTTTTTTTCTAAACCAAAATTTTAACAACTGATTAGGATTATAACATTAATGATAAGTATTATCACGTTAATGATTAGGATTATCACATTAATGATAAGGATTATCACATTAATGATAAAGATTATCACATTATCCTGCATCGTTATTGAGGATTTTCTACTTAGTGAATAGTGAACCAAACATGTAATCTTCATCATCATCATTGGCATCATCATCATCATCACTATCGTCATCATCGTCATCATCATCATCATCATCAAAACCAGATCATAATACAATATTCGACTGACGACTTTGATACAATTTGTAGAAAAACTCGATGTAATTTTTATAGTGAGTTGTAATTAAACAGACTAAAAATATTTAAAATATACGTATGTGTGTATATCATGCAAAAAAAAAACACTATTTTGTGCAGAATAAAAGAGGAATATTAAAACCTGCTGGGGGTGGAGGGGTTGGGTGAAGCATTAACATAAACATATTTCCTATTTTAAATTTGAGTTAATACTAGTTTAGAAGTTTAAATGTGGAAATATTTATAATATATGATTTACAGCAACATTAAAATGTATTCTCGATGATAACAGCACTAGCTTATGACTAGTGTTTAGATCTGCTCTTATTGCTAGATAATAACAACTGACTATAATCATTGATTAAATTTATTAATGACATTTGTTTTTTTTGTCGCTGTACAAGTAAATAAAGTACCTGGCTAGTGCAGTGTGTAGTGCAGTGTGTAGTGCAGTGTGTAGTGCAGCTATGTACAAGATGTGACAGAGGTGTACAAGGTGCTGGGTACACAGTACAGTGTTAATGAATACACCATCAAGCATTCTCGTGTTATTAGTCGCTGATACATAGCAGGTGTGTTTACCTGGGTAAATAAGGTACTGAACAAACCTGGTTAATACTGATCTTGTGTTCTGACCATTCTGTCTGTCGTGTGAGCCGGTCAAGTCCTCAGTCCTGGTGGTGTTTTGTAAAGCGTATATAGACACATGTTTGGGCTTAGATTTGAGTTTAACATATACTTTGTTGCCGGGTTTGGGCTTATGCTCGTCCTGGTAAAAAAATATTTAACGAGTGATGGTTAATGAAGATTAATAAGGCATCAGGTTTTTTTTTAAAGGGAGAGAATCATAAGGGTGATAAACTTTATAGTACATGGGACATAATTCAATTTTCACTTTAGAACGTTAAAACAATTTTATTATTTCCCTTGCTAAATCATCTGCATCAATCCACACGATGCATATTTTAATGTATTTTCTTTTGATAAATATGTAATGTGAGGAGTTATGCAAGCGATAAAGTTGGATATTGAATACAATCTTTAAACAACACTACGTATTATTTAACTCCCTTTTTTACTCGATCTACGTGCTTCATATCAAACATATTAAAGTGAGCAATATGCATAACAAGTAATTTAACACTTAATTTAACACTTAATTTAACACTTAATTTAACGCTTACTTTAACACTAAATTTAACACTCAATTTAACACTCAATTTAACACTTAATTTAACACACAATTTAACACTCAATTTTACACTCAATTTAACACTTAATTTAACACTCAATTTAACACTCAATTTAACACTCAATTTAACACTCAATTTAACACTCAATTTAACACTTAATTTAACATTTCGTTCAACACTCATTTAGCACTCAATTTAATACTTAGCTCAAAACTTCATTTTTAATCTAGCACTTCTTTTTATTTTAAATCAAATTCTTATTGTCAAAATTCCCGATCTCCCCCCCATCCCCCCCCCCACCCCCATCGCCATCCCAACCCATCCCTTATACGTTGATCAGAAATGCCGAGCTTACCTCAAACTGGAGCCGGTGCAGTGGGACCTCCCCCTGCCCCAACTTATAAGTTGTCCAGGCATGTCCCCCTACCCCAACTTATAAGTTGTCCAGGCATGTCCCCTACCCCAACTTATAAGTTGTCCAGGCATGTCCCCCTATCCCAACTTATAAGTTTTCCAGGCATGTCCCCCTACCCCAACTTATAAGTTGTCCAGGCATGCCCCCCCTACCCCAACTTATAAGTTGTCCAGGCATGTCCCCCTACCCCAACTTATAAGTTGTCCAGGCATGTCCCCCTACCCCAACTTATAAGATGTCCAGGCATGTCCCCCTGCCCCAACTTATAAGTTGTCCAGGCATGTCCCCCTGCCCCAACTTATAAGTTGTCCAGGCATGTCCCCCTACCCCAACTTATAAGTTGTCCAGGCATGTCCCCTACCCCAACTTATAAGTTGTCCAGGCATGTCCCCCTACCCCAACTTATAAGTTGTCCAGGCATGTCCCCCTGCCCCAACTTATAAGTTGTCCAGGCATGTCCCCTACCCCAACTTATAAGTTGTCCAGGCATGTCCAACTTACCTCAAACTGGAACCGATGCAGTGGGACGACACAGTTGCCCTTCTGTATGGTGGGCAGGCATGTCCAACTTACCTCAAACTGGAACCGGTGCAGTGGGACGACACACTTGCCCTTCTGTATGGTGGGCAGGCATGTCCAACTTACCTCAAACTGGAACCGGTGCAGTGGGACGACACAGTTGCCCTTCTGTATGGTGGGCAGGCATGTCCAACTTACCTCAAACTGGAACCGGTGCAGTGGGACGACACAGTTGCCCTTCTGTATGGTGGGCAGGCATGTCCAACTTACCTCAAACTGGAACCGGTGCAGTGGGACGACACAGTTGCCCTTCTGTATGGTGGGCAGGCATGTCCAACTTACCTCAAACTGGAACCGGTGCAGTGGGACGACACAGTTGCCCTTCTGTATGGTGGGCAGGCATGTCCAACTTACCTCAAACTGGAACCGGTGCAGTGGGACGACACAGTTGCCCTTCTGTATGGTGGGCAGGCATGTCCAACTTACCTCAAACTGGAACCGGTGCAGTGGGACGACACAGTTGCCCTTCTGTATGGTGGGCAGGCATGTCCAACTTACCTCAAACTGGAACCGATGTAGTGGGACGACACAGTTGCCCTTCTGTATGGTGGGCAGGCATGTCCAACTTACCTCAAACTGGAACCGGTGCAGTGGGACGACACAGTTGCCCTTCTGTATGGTGGGCAGGCATGTCCAACTTACCTCAAACTGGAACCGATGTAGTGGGACGACACAGTTGCCCTTCTGTATGGTGGGCAGGCATGTCCAACTTACCTCAAACTGGAACCGATGCAGTGGGACGACACAGTTGCCCTTCTGTATGGTGGGCAGGCATGTCCAACTTACCTCAAACTGAAACCGGTGTAGTGGGACGACACAGTTGCCCTTCTGTATGGTGGGCAGGCATGTCCAACTTACCTCAAACTGGAACCGATGTAGTGGGACGACACAGTTGCCCTTCTGTATGGTGGGCAGGCATGTCCAACTTACCTCAAACTGGAACCGATGTAGTGGGACGACACAGTTGCCCTTCTGTATGGTGGGCAGGCATGTCCAACTTACCTCAAACTGGAACCGATGTAGTGGGACGACACAGTTGCCCTTCTGTATGGTGGGCAGGCATGTCCAACTTACCTCAAACTGAAACCGGTGTAGTGGGACGACACAGTTGCCCTTCTGTATGGTGGGCAGGCATGTCCAACTTACCTCAAACTGGAACCGATGTAGTGGGACGACACAGTTGCCCTTCTGTATGGTGGGCAGGCATGTCCAACTTACCTCAAACTGGAACCGATGTAGTGGGACGACACAGTTGCCCTTCTGTATGGTGGGCAGGCATGTCCAACTTACCTCAAACTGAAACCGGTGTAGTGGGACGACACAGTTGCCCTTCTGTATGGTGGGCAGGCTGTTGTGCCAACGGGTCAGCCTCTCTTCCAACTTGCTGAGGGCTGTGTCACTGCTAGCCCAGTCGTACTGCTCATCAAGGTCAAGGTAGTTCGTCTCGTAGCCGTCTGCAGAATAGTATCATCTCTTAATTTATAACCACAGCATTGGAACAATATGGCAGCGACGTTGGTCCGTTTACCTAAAGCACACGACGTTCGTCCGTTAAAGCACACGACGTTGGTCCGTTAACCTACACCACCAAGTCGTAATTGTAATGACGTGGTGTATAACCACGTACTGTGAGGGTGACATTGTTACAAAATGTTACAAATTTACAGACGTTTATGACAGCACAGAAATAACGTCACAATTACAGGTCAAGACACGGTCACGTGTGTGGATGTGCTGGTCACGTGTGGGCAGAGGCGTAGCGAGGGGTGGTGGGGGGACACATATGTCCCCAGGCGCCAACCTTAGGGGGCGCCAAAATGGGTTGGAGAAACAAATTTAAAGTTTGAGGGGGGTTCAAATCGAAAGTTTATTCCCGGGGCCGGGAAGAGTCGCTTCGCCTCTGCGTGTGGGTGTGCTGGTCACGTGTGTGGGTGTGCTGGTCACGTGTGTGTGTGCTGGTCACATGTGTGGATGTGCTGGTCACGTGAGTGTGTTGGTCACATGTGTGGTTGTGCTGGTCACACGTGTGGGTGTGCTGGTCACGTGTGGATGTGCTGGTCACGTGAGTGTGTTGGTCACATGTGTGGTTGTGCTGGTCACACGTGTGGGTGTGCTGGTCACATGTGTGGATGTGCTGGTCACATGTGTGGGTGTGCTGGTCACGTGTGGATGTGCTGGTCACGTGAGTGTGTTGGTCACATGTGTGGTTGTGCTGGTCACACGTGTGGGTGTGCTGGTCACATGTGTGGTTGTGCTGGTCACACGTGTGGGTGTGCTGGTCACGCGTGTGGGTGTGCTGGTCACGCGTGTGGGTGTGCTGGTCACATGTGTGGGTGTGCTGGTCACGTGTAATTGTGCTGGTCACATGTAGATGTGCTGGTCACGTGTGGTTGTGCTGGTCACATGTGTGGGTGTGCTGGTCACAACTCGAGGATGTGCTCAACATACATTTTTTTAAAATTAAAAAGTTATGTTTTAAAAACAAAACGGCCCATATGGAAAAATAGACATCAAGACAAAATTTTCTGCTTTGGTTTTAAAACAGTGAAATATTACAGCTACACAAAACACTAGTTTTAGGGGCGTGAAAAAATAAACCAAGTACATTTTCATTACTCACCGCCATCAGCATAGTCTGCATCATCCAACTCTGTGATCATCTTTGGATCTGCCGCCCCGTACAAGTTGATCATGGAGGCTGTGGCAGAGGTCGGCTCCTCGTTCTGTGTGTTCACATTTCTAGAACCATAAACATTTGAGGTCAGAGTTGCTAAAGTTTTCACGGCAGCCATAACTGACGGTTTGGCCGCCACGCCCCCGAATCTAAAATTAGAAGCGGGGTTGTTCATGTGTCTCTTCTGCCTAGCCTTCATTTCTTTAGCTCTCTTGCGAATGAGGTAAAAAACGCTGCCCGGACCGTACATGTTAACAAGCGGCCCTTTCTGTAGATTCTCCACGTTGACGTCCATGTCCTGGGGGGTCCGTGACCTCGGGGTTCTGGCATTGAGTCTGGCATCTTTCTCCTTCTCGTCGAGGGTGTAGAGGAAGTACCTGTACAGTGGGATCGTCTCCTCGTTCAGCCGCGAGAAGTGGAGGGTCAGCTTGGTGTGTACAATGTCCCTCAGCATCTCCAGGGCGCCGGGGTTTCGCTTCTCGATCAGACGGTCGTAGTTTCTTTGGTCCAGATGGAAAATGACCGACTCCTCTGTACATTCGACGGTCTGAGAGTAGGTCATCAACCCCATCGCCATCTCCAGGTCGCCTGCTCACAGGGGAAAAGTAAAAACATGAAACATCTCAGAAACTTTTCGGAACAAAAAGTAAAATTCAACCCCGACTAATATAAATAGTCTAATTGGCTAAATCATAAAAAAATCTTAGCTGGGACTTTTCAACATCAGTTTTTCTGGCCTAAAAGAAACCAAATTTTCAATCGAAGTAAATGTTGATCACCTATAACATCAATGGCACCAGCTAAGCAGAGTTCTAGAGGTTTCTGATTGGTTTTCTTCACGTCACTCACAGGGACTGCTCGGCGTTGATAGGTTGATTTCTTGTCGACTGTTCTCTGACGCTCAAGGTTCATCTCCCTAGTCACATTAAAACCACATGTAATTGAACCTCAAGATTCATCTCCCTAATCACATTAAAACCACGTGTAATTGACGCTCAAGGTTCATCTCCCTAGTCACATTAAAACCACATGTAATTGACGCTCAAGGTTCATCTCTAAAACACATTAAAACCACATGTAATTGACGCTCAAGGTTCATCTCTAAAACACATTAAAACCACATGTAATTGAACCCCACGATTCATCTCCCTAATCACATTAAAACCACATGTAATTGACCCTTACGATTCATCTCCCTAATCATATTAAAACCACATGTAATTGAACCTTACGATTCATCTCTAAAACACATTTAAAACCACATGTAATTGAACCTCAAGATTCATCTCTAAAACACATTAAAACCACATGTAATTGACGCTCAAGATTCATCTCTAAAACACATTAAAACCACATGTAATTGACGCTCACGATTCATCTCTAAAACACATTAAAACCACATGTAATTGACGCTCACGATTCATCTCTAAAACACATTAAAACCACATGTAATTGAACCTCACGATTCATCTCTAAAACACATTAAAACCACATGTAATTGAACCTCAAGATTCATCTCTAAAACACATTAAAACCACATGTAATTGACGCTCAAGATTAATCTCTAAAACACATTAAAACCACATGTAATTGACGCTTAAGATTCATCTCTAAAACACATTAAAACCACATGTAATTGACGCTCAAGATTCATCTCTAAAACACATTAAAACCACATGTAATTGACGCTCACGATTCATCTCTAAAACACATTAAAACCACATGTAATTGACGCTCACGATTCATCTCTAAAACACATTAAAACCACATGTAATTGACGCTCAAGATTCATCTCTAAAACACATTAAAACCACATGTAATTGACGCTCACGATTCATCTCTAAAACACATTAAAACCACATGTAATTGACGCTCACGATTCATCTCTAAAACACATTAAAACCACATGTAATTGACGCTCACGATTCATCTCTAAAACACATTAAAACCACATGTAATTGACGCTCACGATTCATCTCTAAAACACATTAAAACCAGAGTTTCTTCCAGGCATCTCTTCGGGGGGGCTTTGCCCCCCCCCCCCCCCCGAAAATTTTTTACCGCCCCCCCCCCCCCCCCGAACGAAATGAAATTTATATAATTTATATAGAAAATATATACTTTTAACAGTGTCCGCCCCCCCGAAGAAAGTCTACCGCCCCCCTCCCCCCGAAAATTTCAAGTGCCCCCCCGGAGAAAAAAGTCTGGAAGAAACACTGATTAAAACCACATGTAATTGACGCTCACGATTCATCTCTAAAACACATTAAAACCACATGTAATTGTTTTGTATTCAGCATTAGCATCAAGTCTCACTTTCACGTTGCTGACTTTGGCATTAACAAACTATTTTCATTTTAAAATTAATAAGATAAGCATGTGTAAACTTTCGTTTTGTTTTAGCAGAACTTGAATATAAATGTGAACTTTTTTTAAGTTCAGTTAAATTTATAACATAAATGCTGTACAATTTATCGACAGGTTAACCTTGACCTACTTCCGAAGCAGCTCTCTGGCCTTCTCCCTCTCCAGGTCGGCGATGTCCCCCAGCGGGTACAGGTGCTGGTATTGGCTGGGGTGCTGCTGGGGGTCAACACGAATCTTCACCTGACCCCTGAAAGGTGAGGGGCATTTTTTTATTAAACAAAATTAATTAACCAACAAGGAAAGTGACGTCAGTTTTTCAGCGAAGCCTCTACTTCCTCTCATTTCCCGAAGGGGTGGGACCCAGCAAGCGGCCAGTTGCCCGGCACAAACTAGAAAAGCTAGTGCTCGATACATTAAGAGCCAAACAAAGCATGTTAAGATACAATTCCCACGCTGATTTATAGTCTATAGATCTCCTCATTTTTCTAAGACCGGCCTGGGCAGGATGGTGTGAATCTACTCTCTAGGTAATGGAATACAAAGAAGTGACGCCTCCGTGGTTTCACCCTCCCCTTACAACAATCAATGGGAGCCCTAATTGGGTGGGTGGTAGGCCTACTCATTAGAGTCATTAGGCTTACTCATTAGAGTCATCTGAGGGTCGTGCCTGAGATCGTAGCCTCGTTCTGTGGTGGGTGGAGCCTGGCTAAAAGTGAACAATTCGGTGGGTGTGTTGAATAGAAACACACAGTTCATGACAACGCTTTAATCCATCCCCACCCTCTAACAAGTGAGGCCCCCGAGCACCTGATAATGAAGTGCATGCCATCAACAGCGTCCCCCCACCCCCCACCCCCTCACCCCACCCCACCAAGTGAGCACCTGATAATGAAGTGTATGCCATCAACAGCGTCCCCCCACCCCCCACCCCCTCACCCCACCCCACCAAGTGAGCACCTGATAATGAAGTGTATGCCATCAACAGCGTCCCCCCACCCCCCCACCCCCTCACCCCACCCCACCAAGTGAGCACCTGATAATGAAGTGTATGCCATCAACAGCGTCCCCCCACCCCCCACCCCCTCACCCCACCCCACCAAGTGAGCACCTGATAATGAAGTGCATGCCATCAACAGCGTCCCCCCACCCCACCCCCACCCCACCCCCACCCCACCCCCACCCCACCAAGTGAGCACCTGATAATGAAGTGTATGCCATCAACAGCTTTCCCCCACCCCACCCCCACCCCACCCCCACCCCACCAAGTGAGCACCTGATAATGAAGTGTATGCCATCAACAGCTTTCCCCCACCCCACCCCCACCCCACCCCCACCCCACCAAGTGAGCACCTGATAATGAAGTGTATGCCATCAACAGCGTCCCCCCACCCCCACCCCCACCCCACCCCCACCCCACCAAGTGAGCACCTGATAATGAAGTGTATGCCATCAACAGCGTCCCCCCCACCCCCACCCCCACCCCACCCCCACCCCACCAAGTGAGCACCTGATAATGAAGTGTATGCCATCAACAGCGTCCCACCACCCCCACCCCACCCCCACCCCACCAAGTGAGCACCTGATAATGAAGTGTATGCCATCAACAGCGTCCCCCCACCCCCACCCCCACCCCACCCCCACCCCACCAAGTGAGCACCTGATAATGAAGTGCATGCCATCAACAGCGTCCCCCCACCCCCCACCCCCTCACCCCACCCCACCAAGTGAGCACCTGATAATGAAGTGTATGCCATCAACAGCGTCCCCCCCACCCCCCCACCCCCTCACCCCACCCCACCAAGTGAGCACCTGATAATGAAGTGTATGCCATCAACAGCGTCCCCCCACCCCCTCACCCCACCCCACCAAGTGAGCACCTGATAATGAAGTGTATGCCATCAACAGCGTTCCCCCACCCCCACCCCCCACCCCCACCCCACCAAGTAAGCACCTGATAATGAAGTGTATGCCATCAACAGCGTTCCCCCACCCCCACCCCCCACCCCCACCCCACCAAGTAAGCACCTGATAATGAAGTGTATGCCATCAACAGCGTTCCCCCACCCCCACCCCCCACCCCCACCCCACCAAGTAAGCACCTGATAATGAAGTGTATGCCATCAACAGCGTTCCCCCACCCCCACCCCCACCCCCCACCCCCACCCCACCAAGTAAGCACCTGATAATGAAGTGTATGCCATCAACAGCGTTCCCCCACCCCCACCCCCCACACCACCCCCCACCCCGCCCCACCAAGTGAGCACCTGATGATGAAATGTATGCCATCAACAGCGTTCCCCTGCTTGACGATCGTGTCCTCAAACCGCAGCACCTGTTTCTTGAGACTCATGGCCATCATCTTCTTGTAGCGGGGCGCCCACGAGTGGAACATGGGGAAGGAGCTGACAAAATCTTTTCTCTGCTCGAACTCGTGGGTCTGGAAGGCTCTCAGTGACCTGGTACAAGGGGTATATAAAAAAAAAAAAAATATATATATATATATATATATATATATATATATATATATATATATATATATATATATATATATATGTTTATATAAAGACAATATTTAATATTGTCATTAAGACTGTGATCACGTAAATACAGACAGCACTCAATGCACGTGTCATTAACCCGTGCACGTGAAACAGCGTTACCTGCTGTAAAGATCATGTTAAACAGCCTCACCTGTTGTAAAGATCATGTTATACAGTGTCACCTATTGTAAAGATCATAGTAAACAGCCTCACCTGTTGTAAAGATCCCTGTCAACAGAGAGCAGATCCGTCGACTCGTCTGCAATGATTGTGGCGTTACGCACACAATCAGCATTGATCAAGGCCAGCTCACCGAAACTTTTTCCTGCATCTGAAAACAAAGCGACGTTTATCTCAATCAATATCAACTTAGCCCAGGTCTCATGACTCCAGGCTGGACCTCTAGCGCCGTCTGCACATCAGGGACAGAATTTGAATAAACTGACAGTTTGGTAGGGACAAAATATTCGAGTTTAACCATTTGATGGGAAGTAAATGTTGAACAAACACTGTTAGCCTGATAAAGCATTTTGTTTTGCGAGTTTGTTTGGGTCATCAATCAATGACGTCACATGCCTTATGGGTATGGGTACGCACTTTTGTGACGTTGTTAGATTAGAGGGGGGGGGGGGGTAATTAATTAGTGTTTCTTAAAATAACAGCAATAGCAATTTTTAAGGGGTGGTAACTATGACGTCACTTTATGGGGGAGGGGGTCTTGCATTTTTAGAAGGAGCAAGGCAAAAATGTAGGGGTCTCACCAATTTTGCCGACGTAAATTCCGTATTTTGTCCTGTCCAGGGCGCGCCCCAGTGCGGCCTCCCTCTCAACCAGGGCCTCTTCGATGAGCTGGGTCTCCTTTATGGCTGGGTACTCCTCCTCCGTCAGTGTGGTGTTGATGTGGATGGCCACACTGCCACTTAGGATGATGTAGAAACTGGCGAGTGGGGGGGGGGGGGTCTGTTACAACTGTTAACTTGTTTGTATCTAAGGCTATCACGTTTTGATGTTCTATCCCAATTAGGGCCAAACATATCGAATAATAATTTAGATAATGGGAATAATATCATTTGCTGGACTTTACTTTCACACCCAAAAACATAATTCTTTATAAATAGGGAGTGGGGAGGGGGGGGGGGGCAAGAGTGTGACTGTTTCTTTACTATTGTAATGCGTTTTGTTTCAATTCAAACATCATTAATAGAAAAAAAATTGGTAATATCAAAATATTTTGCACATTTCAACCACGGATGCTTTTACTAAGTCTTATTTTTAAATTTTCAATGCATTTTAAAGTTTATTATAATGGAGATTTTTATATTTGTTAAAATTCTTTTTCAAAAATCCATTTGCTTTTTTTCCTGTCTGAGACACATTGGTGATTATGACAAGATGGCCAGACACGCCACTGATTGTATCACGGTCGACACGTTTGGTTCGATCAATCGGAACGGCACAGAATTATTTGTGGCTCCAAGCTTTCAATTTCGTTTTTATGGTGCAAGTTTGGCCGCCCCTTGCCCCTCCAGCCTTCAATGGACCAGACACGTCATAACCTCACAGAATAATAGGGTACAGGCAGACGTGAAGCTACTGAACAGGTTCTTACAATTTTGTATCGTGTGTTGCGGCGGTGCAGCTAAAACGACACACTGTACAATACATCACCACATGTTGTACGCTTGTTACGGTTGATTGGGTTTGAAATCTAATCAGTTAATCCATGATTTTTTTTACCAACACACAACTGCTAAACCCAGCTTGGCAATTATATTTTACATTACTTGTGCTATGAAAGGTAACTTTAGTTTGAAGAATCAAAATTTTCTTTGAATATTTATTGTGGAAACCAGTTGCTAAATAAACATTTAGTGTCGAACAAAACTCTTTTTTTAACGGCCTCATTTTTTTTTATCAGTTTCACTTAAAGCGAGGAAATAAAAAATACGCCTCAACCCCCCCCCCTCCCTCTCATAAATTATTAAACCTAACCTACTAAAACGTTATTTTCTGGGACAGCAACCCATCTAGGACAGAGAGCCCTAGGGGGCGCCTCAAGCGTCAGGCGACACTAGAATCAGGATGGTTCAGTAGATAATTATTGAAATGAAAGGAGTTCTAAATGCTTTAACAAAACAAAACAATGTAAACTTTTTCACAAGTTTTTGAGCTTTATATCCCGACCATCGCCATGTGTTAAACCTTATGAGTTTATCAGTGAGTTAACTAAAACAACCCTAGTCTTTACACGTGAGTTAACTAAACCCTAATCTTTACACGTAAGTTAACTAAACCCTAATCTTTACACGTGAGTTAACTAAACCCTAATCTTTACACGTAAGTTAACTAAACCCTAATCTTTACACGTGAGTTAACTAAACCCAAATCTTTACAGGTGATTTAACTAAACCCTAATCTTTACACGTGAGTTAACTAAACCTTAATCTTTACACATGAGTTAACTAAACCCTAATCTTTACACGTGAGTTAACTAAAGCCTAATCTTTACACGTAAGTTAACTAAACCCTAATCTTTACACGTGAGTTAACTAAAGCCTAATCTTTACACGTAAGTTAACTAAACCCTAATCTTTACAGGTGATTTAACTAAACCCTAATCTTTACACGTGAGTTAACTAAACCCTAATCTTTACACGTGAGTTAACTAAACCCCAATCTTTACACGTGAGTTAACTAAACCCTAATCTTTACACGTGAGTTAACTAAACCCCAATCTTTACACGTGAGTTAACTAAACCCTAATCTTTACACGTGAGTTAACTAAACCCTAATCTTTACACGTGAGTTAACTAAACCCTAATCTTTACACGTGAGTTAACTAAACCTTAATCTTTACACATGAGTTAACTAAACCCTAATCTTTACACGTGAGTTAACTAAAGCCTAATCTTTACACGTAAGTTAACTAAACCCTAATCTTTACAGGTGATTTAACTAAACCCTAATCTTTACACGTGAGTTAACTAAACCCTAATCTTTACACGTGAGTTAACTAAACCCTAATCTTTACACGTGAGTTAACTAAACCCTAATCTTTACACGTGAGTTAACTAAACCCTAATCTTTACACGTGAGTTAACTAAACCCCAATCTTTACACGTGAGTTAACTAAACCCTAATCTTTACCAGTCGCCTTTGTCCATCTGCCGGATGATGACGCTGTCGCGTTTGGTTGGGGTAAACTTGCAGTTTTTCACAATGTCCCGTACAATATCTGCAGCAGAAAAACATGGGTTGTCATGTTGGTAAAATGCAGGTGTTGGCTAGATATGGGTTGTTGTGCTGTTAAAATACATGGGTTGGCAGTACACACACACACACACACACACACACACACATATATATATATGTATAAATATATACATATATATATATATATATATATATATATATATATATATATATATATATATATATATATATATATATATATATATATATATATATATATATATATATATGGTGCCCTGTCAAAACGGCCCGGGACAAATCGGCCCCGTCAAAACGGCCCCGTTAATTTGACCCCGTCAAATCGACCCCCGACAAAACGACCCAGTCAAAATAGCCCCGTCAAAAGGGCCCCGACTTATTGGCTCCCGTCAAATGGGCTCCCGTCATATTGACTTGCGACATATATGCTCCCGACAAATGGACTCCCGATATTTAGGCTCCCGACAAATGGACTCCCGACATATTAACCCCTGACAAATAGGCTCAGGACATATTGGCTCCCGACAAAGCGGCTCCCGACATATTGGCTCCCGACATAAGGGCTCAAGACAAATGGGCTCCCGACAAATGGGCTCACGACATATTGGCTACCGACAAATGGGCTCCCGACATATTGGCTCCAGGCAATTGGGCTACCGACATATTGGCTTTTGACAAAATGACTCCCGACATATTGGCTCCAGACTAATGAATGACCACTATTGGCATAAAAGTAACCATTTTGTCCTACCTCCAATACCACTATAAATTCTTTTAAATGCCCGAACGAAATTGTTTTTCATGAACCAACATTAATTCACAAACAAATCGAGCCCTTAACAGCTAAATTCCACCAATTCTAAAGTTTTGATAGTGTTTAATTTACAACAGTAAAGATCTATTGCTTAAAAGCGAACACAGAAGTGTACATGTATGATATACATGATGTTTACATGATAACAGCATTTTGTTTTGATAACCTACAAGCATACTGCAGGTAGGAAGGTATAACGTGGACCCTTCTCCCCACACACTGAGTTGGAACAGCCTATAACCGACTCAATTATGGATGTCATAGATAGATGAGCCTTAAATTAAATGATACTATATTTTATAATAGATAAATATAAAAATAAGGCCTGCCGAACAAGAGATGCATACGTTGTATTCAGTGGCGGAACTAGAAAAAATGGGCCACCCCGCAAAAATATTTTTAGCCCCCCCCCCCATATCTACATCTACATCTACATCTACATCTACATCTACATCTACATCTACATCTACATCTACATCTACATCTACATCTATATATACATATATATATATATATATATATATATATATATATATATATATATATATATATATATATATATATATATATATATACAAACACACAATAAGAACATAGGATTCTCATTGCTGGCCTGTTCGGGTTTTGAAAAAATGATTGTTTTTTTTTTCAATTAAGCAAATTACAACATGTCATGTGTGTAAGTGCAATAGTCTGTTTTAAATTTTTAGTTTATTTTATCTCTGCTATCAGATCTTTTAATCACAAGTAAGTCAAAAGTATAAAAATATATAAAACATGAAAGCTTTGTATAAGTTATGGTGTCTCGTTTTATGTAAATTTTAAAGTTTTTTTGTATTTATATTAATAATTTTAAATGCATTTCCTTTTTGTACAATGTCATTCTTTAGTAAGTACTTTATAAAAAATAATTATTAAGAGAAGTAATTACCTTTTAATTTGTTTAGTGCAAATCTATTTAAAGGAGCTTATGAGCACCCCTATTTGACTATTTAAAAAAGGGAAATAAGTCATGGAAGTGGTTTGGACGTTTACTTATCTTTGATAAGTTTGATTGTAGGAGAAAGAGGACTCGGCTTTCACAGTGGTTTAAAAACATAGGGAAAAAGAATACAAGAGCGTGGGGTGGTGTCTATAGAATAAAGATAATCCAATCGCAGCTATAGTAATCTTTTTACATAACAACCATCAAGTTAAAAATGCAAGAAAATTATATTTTTAAACTATATATTTTTTAAATTATGGTCGGCTGTGGGCCCCTAAAGGGCTCCCCCTCCCCCCCCCCCCCGCATTGCGGGGTCTGGCGGCACTGTAGTTCCGCCCCTGGTTGTATTACATAAGAGTGTTGGATAAGCTAACTCTCACTGGCAGACCGCTTTGCCGGGAGACTTAGTCAGGTTTTGTCAGTGGTCCTTTTGTCTGGAGCCAAATTGACAGGAGCCTTTTTGTCGTGAGCCAAAATGACGCTAGCCTATTTGTCGGGAGTCGTAATGACGGGGGCCGTTTTGTGGAAAAAACTAAATGACGGGAGCCTATATGTCGGGAGCCAAAATGACGGGAGCCTATTTGTCAGGAGCCTTATTGACTGGAGCCCTTTTGTCGGGAGCCTATATAACGGGAGCCTATTTGTCGGTAGCCTAAATGACGGGAGCCTATTTGTCGGGAGCCTATATGACGGGGTCCATATGTCGCTGGCCCTTTTGACGGGGACGATTTGACGGGGTCGTTTTGACGGGGCCGTTTTGTCGGGGTCGTTTTGACGGAGCCGTTTTGTCATTGGCCGTTTTGACGCCGCACGATATATATATATATGTATATATGTATATATGTATATATATATGCCTTTATGTATACGTCTCTGTATGTGAATGAACACCTTTACGTTTGTTATAAACTCTTATTCCTTAGCAGCTAAAGCTGACTACAACTATTTCCTAAGGTAACATATTTTATTTAAACTCAACCTCTTCACATTGTTATTAGAAATCTATTTACACATTTTAAGTGACAAACAACAAATAACTAAGGTAACAAACAAAACAGTATTTACATAACATAAATCACAAACTTAGTTCACACAACTAATACTTCAGGGAACAACTTATGTCAAAACCACTATTCACACGACTAAAGCATCAAACACTATTGCCACAACTGAAAGCACAGCACGAACCTGTGTGTAAAGATTTGAAAAGATCCGACTTTTTCCTGAACCAGGGCAGGATCTGCTCGATCTCGCCATCCTGACGCTCCACTGGGGGCTTGTTGATGATGTTGATGACCTTGTCGTACAGGAGACTCATGGCTGACCGCTAGTGACCAGCTCTGAGTGGACCTGGTCACCTGAGAAGGCCTGGGTCAAGGCTGATATTCAGGGCTAAGTTTGGGCCACTGGTGACCTTACGAGACCTAAGGTGGACCTCTGATGACCTTAACAGGTCGGCGGTTGACCGCTGGTGACCTAGCAGGCCTGAAGTGGACCGCAGATGACCTTAGAAGGTCTGCGGTTGACCGCTGGTGGCCTTACAATCTCCAGAACCCTGTAGTACGAAAATGTAGACATTGTGTCAACCTGGTAGATAAGTGAGGCCTACTTAGTACATCAGCGACTACTTAGTACATCAACGACCTAATTAGTACATCAACGACCTAATTAGTACATCAAAGACCTACTTAGTACATCAACGACCTACTTAGTACATCAACGACCTACTTAGTACATCAACGACCTACTTATTACATCAACGACCTACTTAGTACATCAACGACCTACTTAGTACATCAACGACCTACTTAGTACATCAAAGACCTACTTAGTACATCAACGACCTACTTAGTACATCAACGACCTACTTATTACATCAACGACCTACTTAGTACATCAACGACCTACTTAGTATATCAACGACCTACTTATCTGGAAGAAGAGAAGGGTGGGTGAACCAGACTAAGGCAGGCCACGTCGAGTCAGTCTAGTTTGTGAAGAGTTTTACGCAAAGACGTAGCGTGGGGGTGGGGGGCGGGGGGGACATATGTCCCCGGGCACCGAACTTAGGGGGCGCCAAAATGGGTTGGAAAAATAAATTGAAAGCTTGGGGGGGGGTGCAAATCGAAAGTTTGAGGGGGGGGGGTGTAAATCGAAATCTTGAGAGGGGTGGGGTGCAAATCGAAAGTTTGAGGGGGGGGGTGCAAATCGAGAAATCTTGAGCGGGGGTGCTAATCGAAAGTTTGTCCCCGGGCGCCGGGAGGGGTCGCTACGCCTCTGGTCTTACGTAAGGCATATTTTTACAATGTTCCAGAAATAGACCCATTTACACATTTCTTATTCTCTGCATCATCCTTTAATTTAATGTTTATTCCCTCTAGTTTATAGCTATTAAGGGGTCGTCCATAATGACGTCACACTCGTAGGGGGGAGAGGGGGTCTGTAATTTTGTGTGTGATGAGGGGGAGGGGGGGGGGGTTCAGATGGTGCGACGTCACACTTTTGCATTATAAAAAAGCAATGTTAGAAAACGACTTTTAGACGTTATTTCGCGTTTTAGAATACTGTTTTAATAAATTGTATTAGGAATTGATTAAAACACTCTATTTTGACAGAGTTCAGACAAGATTTAGAAAAATATCGATGTTTTTAAAATAATTCAACTGCAATTTTAAGGGAGCGGGGGGTTGTAGGCTGCGGTGTGACGTCATTTTAAGGGGGGGGGGTATGGCTTTTTGTGACGATGTGTGACAGAGGGGAGGGGGGGGGGGGGTAAAAATCGTCCAAAAAAGGGTGACGTCATTTATGGATGACCCCTAATTAAATATTTAAATTTAATAATTACATTTTAATAAATATTTATTAGCATAATCTATTTAAACAAGTTGGCTCTATTTCGTCACTTTCGGATTTCTACGAATGTTTTCTCATCGGGACTCAAGGTTCCAGTAAAACTAACATAACACTGTTTTCTCGAGTAAAATAACAAAAATTATTTGTGAATGTATTTTTGAGCTAAACCAGCCCCGCAACAAATATTTTAGCGAACGGGGTCCAAAAATAGAAATCTAGTCGTTCCCTGAGGACCACCAATACGTCATTTCGTAAATAACAAAGAGTTATTTCCCTTGCGTTCACTGGGTAGAGAACAATCCATCCTTTCTTGACATTGTTTCCTTTCAATTATTCCTACCTGAAAAAACAAATAATCCTCCGGACTAATCTCCCTTACACGGCTTGATGAACCATCCAGCTATAACGTGAACGATTACTTCCCTTACCTCCACATCAGGTCGGACGTTAGCTAGAGATTAACGGCTTATCGAATTATCGAACCATGGCTTATTAAAAACCATTCGCCTGGAATTTTTTTCTTACATTTTTTTCCTGACTTCAACAACGTGAGACGGGACAATGAACCAACTAGGGTAGACTTTATATGAGGCCTGACATACTAGAGACGGGACAATGAACCAACTAGGGTAGACCTTATATGAGGCCTGACATAACATACTAGAGACGGGACAATGAACCAACTAGGGTAGACCTTATATGAGGCCTGACATACTAGAGACGGGCCAATGAACCAACTAGGGTAGACCTTATATGTGGCCTGACATACTAGAGAAGGGACAATGAACCAACTAGGGTAGACCTTATATGAGGCCTGACATAACATAAGAGACGGGACAATAAACCAACTAGGGTAGACCTTATATGTGGCCTGACATAACATACTAGAGACGGGACAATGTACCAACTGGGGTAGACCTTATATGAGGCCTGACATAACATACTAGAGACGGGACAATGAACCAACTAGGGTAGACCTTATATGTGGCCTGACATACTAGAGAAGGGACAATGAACCAACTAGGGTAGACCTTATATGATGCCTGACATAACATAAGAGACGGGACAATAAACCAACTAGGGTAGACCTTATATGAGGCCTGACATACTAGAGACGGGACAATGAACCAACTAGGGTAGACCTTATATGAGGCCTGACATACTAGAGACGGGACAATGAACCAACTAGGGTAGACCTTATATGAGGCCTGACATAACATACTAGAGACGGGACAATGAACCAACTAGGGTAGACCTTATATGAGGCCTGACATAACATACTAGAGACGGGACAATGAACCAACTAGGGTAGACCTTATATGAGGCCTGACATAACATAAGGGACAATAAACCAACTAGGGTAGACCTTATATGTGGCCTGACATACTAGAGAAGGGACAATGAACCAACTAGGGTAGACCTTATATGAGGCCTGACATAACATAAGAGACGGGACAATGAACCAACTAGGGTAGACCTTATATGAGGCCTGACATACTAGAGACGGGACAATGAACCAACTAGGGTAGACCTTATATGAGGCCTGACATGACATACTAGAGACGGGACAATGAACCAACTAGGGTAGACCTTATATGAGGCCTGACATACTAGAGACGGGACAATGAACCAACTAGGGTAGACCTTATATGAGGCCTGGCATAACATACTAGAGACGGGACAATGAACCAACTAGGGTAGACCTTATATGAGGCCTGACATAACATACTAGAGACGGGACAATGTACCAACTGGGGTAGACCTTATATGAGGCCTGACATAACATACTAGAGACGGGACAATGAACCAACTAGGGTAGACCTTATATGAGGCCTGACATAACATACTAGAGACGGGACAATAAACCAACTAGGGTAGACCTTATATGAGGCCTGACATACTAGAGACGGGACAATGAACCAACTAGGGTAGACCTTATATGAGGCCTGACATAACATAAGAGAGGGGACAATGAACCAACTAGGGTAGACCTTATATGAGGCCTGACACACTAGAGAAGGGACAATGAACCAACTAGGGTAGACCTTATATGAGGCCTGACATAACATACTAGAGACGGGACAATGAACCAACTAGGGTAGACCTTATATGAGGCCTGACATAACATACTAGAGACGGGACAATGAACCAACTAGGGTAGACCTTATATGAGGCCTGACATACTAGAGAAGGGACAATGAACCAACTAGGGTAGACCTTATATGAGGCCTGACATAACATACTAGAGACGGGACAATGAACCAACTAGGGTAGACCTTATATGAGGCCTGACATACTAGAGACGGGACAATGAACCAACTAGGGTATACCTTATATGAAGCCTGACGTAACATAAGAGACGGGGCAATGAACCAACTAGGGTAGACCTTATATGAGGCCTGACATGACATACTAGAGACGGGACAATGAACCAACTAGGGTAGACCTTATATGAGGCCTGGCATAACATACTAGAGACGGGACAATGAACCAACTAGGGTAGACCTTATATGAGGCCTGACATAACATACTAGAGACGGGACAATGTACCAACTGGGGTAGACCTTATATGAGGCCTGACATACTAGAGACGGGACAATAAACCAACTAGGGTAGACCTTATATGAGGCCTGACATACTAGAGACAGGACAATGAACCAACTAGGGTAAACCTTATATGAGGCCTGACATAACATACTAGAGACGGGACAATAAACCAACTAGGGTAGACCTTATATGAGGCCTGACATAACATACTAGAGACGGGACAATGAACAAACTGGGGTAGACCTTATATGAGGCCTGACATACTAGAGACGGGACAATGAACCAACTAGGGTAGACCTTATATGAGGCCTGACATAACATAAGAGAGGGGACAATGAACCAACTAGGGTAGACCTTATATGAGGCCTGACACACTAGAGACGGGACAATGAACCAACTAGGGTAGACCTTATATGAGGCCTGACATAACATACTAGAGACGGGACAATGAACCAACTAGGGTAGACTTTATATGAGGCCTGACATACTAGAGACGGGACAATGAACCAACTAGGGTAGACCTTATATGAGGCCTGACATACTAGAGAAGTGACAATGAACCAACTAGGGTAGACCTTATATGAGGCCTGGCATAACATACTAGAGACGGGACAATAAACCAACTAGGGTAGACCTTATATGAGGCCTGACATACTAGAGAAGGGACAATGAACCAACTAGGGTAGACCTTATATGAGGCCTGACATACTAGAGACGGGACAATGAACCAACTAGGGTAGACCTTATATGACGCCTGACATAACATACTAGAGACGGGACAATGAACCAACTAGGCTAGACCTTATATGAGGCCTGACATACTAGAGACGGGACAATGAACCAACTAGGGTAGACCTTATATGAGGCCTGACATAACATACTAGAGACGGGACAATGAACCAACTAGGGTAGACCTTATATGAGGCCTGACATAACATACTAGAGACGGGACAATAAACCAACTAGGGTAGACCTTATATGAGGCCTGACATACTAGAGACGGGACAATGAACCAACTAGGATAGACCTTATATGAGGCCTGACATAACATACTAGAGACGGGACAATAAACCAACTAGGGTAGAACTTATATGAGGCCTGACATACTAGAGACGGGACAATGAACCAACTAGGGTAGACCTTATATGAGGCCTG